TTTTGGAAGCATCCAGACATTCTTCATGAAACAAGGTGTCAAAACACCATGCTAGACTAATGGCATCCTTCTCAGCAGGCACAGTGAGTAAAATCTGGCCAAATTCAGGGGATACTGGTCATCAAGCCTACTACTTAGAGTAGTAGATAGGTTTTTATATATACATATACACACACATATATAAATTCTATATTTTCAGTTGGTCACATTGTGTTACCAAAGTTGGCCTCTGCAACCTCTGATAACAGAAATGAAAGGTGGCCATTGGGGACTACCTGTTTGGACTGCAGGCAACCAGAAACTCATATGTGAAGGAAGGAGAACTGTCCCGGTTTGTCTCACCAGCATACTAACTCTGGTGAGAAGTTACAGGGTTTGAACCACTTTTGCCCATCTAGTGAAGCTTCTCTGGCATTATGGAATGAACCAGGACCACCGGATGAAGACTGATTATGCCCAAAGCAAAAGGAAAGTGTTTTCCTGCCCTCCCTTCCCACACCAAGACTGCTCACATGCATACCCTTGCCTAGTCCAGCTTGCTGCACAATAGCCAAGCCAGTTGTCTAGCCAGTGTAATGCCCTGGCACGGTCTCAATAGTCTTTGCTGTAATGCAGTGTATACATACAAACATAGCAAACTAAAATAAGGCAAAATAAATAGAGGTGTCAGATTTACAGGTTCCTCTTAGAGATTCCTAAAACCTTTTTTTTTTTTTTTAAATCATTTAACCCCCAAACAAACAAAAAAACCAAAACAACCAACCCAGAAACGAAACTGCATATATCATGTACATCATCAACTGTACAACTGATCTCCTTTCCCCTCATGGAAACTCCTGACACAAGCTTCTCCCATGCAACCCCGCTCAGAGCGTGAGCTTTCCTAAAGAAGAGGAAAGATTCAGCCAATGGGGCTGATCATTATGGAAACACCTGCTCCACAGTCTCCTACCAGGGCCCTTTGCAATTCCTTTCCCTTCCTCAGACATTGAGAACACATTACAGAAATGCTTCTGAAGGACTCCCAGGCCATCTCCTAAGTGGGGAGTCTCTCACCCCTGAACACTAGTTCTACTTCTGCTGTTGTAGGGAACTGTTGCCTGGATGATAGCTGTGCTGCAGGGCATGGAAGGGCCTGCCCTGAAGTCACTTTACCTTGTAGCATTTCCAGAGACTTATGACCGACTGAGAAGAGTGACCCAGACCAAAGGGAGTGGGAGGGAGTTCTTCAGTCTTTTCTGGGATCATCCTAATGCAACCTGCTTAAGAACAATGCAGAGACACAGAGGCAAGTGAATGAGCACTAGACCTCTAGGGTCAAAGTCTGGAAAGTTAGAAAGTACCTCCTCTTCTAGGTGTGAAGAACTTCATCATAAAGTTATCAGTGACTACATTTCTGCAGGAAGCAGACCAAGCCATCAGTTACACCCTTCTTTCTCTGATCTCTTCCTCCTCCACTTATTTCCAAAGGCAGAGTGATTTAACTTAAAATGCTGGTGCTAGGCACACATACAAGGACAACAGCAGACCCTAGCTCTTCTCCAGCTCTCAGTGCAGTAAAGGGGTTACATCTCTATGTTGTGCAAAGTCATGCCTGCTTGCTGTAGCTGCTCAGGCTCTGCTAGCAGTAGAGGACAAGGAGATAAGATTTTCCTTTCTCCTTCAGCACACAGCAACTGTACCACAACTGCTGATGAAGAACAGGGCGTAGAAGCACTCACTGTACCCAAGAGATGAGAAGCAAGGACAAACTTGGCTTCAGCAAGAGTCTGACATGAGGCCCTAGAACAGGGCCAATGTTTTCCTTATCATCTGTGTGGCTAGCCTCATCTCATACAGCAGGCCTATTAATGGGCCTCTCCACTTGTCACCACTTGTATGAAACCACTGCTTGCCTCAGTGTGTAACTGAGCTTTTCCAAAACCTTCTTTATGAACATTCACCATAGAGCCAAGAGCCAGGGGGACTTCCCACACACTGAACGAAGCCTTCAGCCACCACCACAGATTCAAAACTGGAGTCTGGGGCACTGGAGTGCTGAGAAAGTCGAGCTGTAATGAATCAGGGGCATGACTCCAAGCTTTCTGTCCATCCCAGGAAGTATCCCGCAGCTGATTTACAGGAGTTGCTCAATCTCATTATTTGCATATGAGTCAAGGAGGTGACAAAACTGCAGCAGCTTTCTTTGACTCTGTCAGTGTGGCTGGAGCACCGCGTACCATCATACAGGGTCTCTTGAAATCAGAGTTGAACTGTGTACACAAATGGACAGAGGGCTTTATCATTCTCTCTGTATTTGCTACATTTGTGGCCTGGCAAAGTGACTTCAGTTTCAAAAAGCACAGCACAAACCTGATTTGACAAACACTGGGGCAGGGGGAATGCTGTATTTATATTCGAGTTTTTTGCCCTGAGATGTTCTTCTCTGACAGCACTGCCATGCTGACAGTCTGCCTTACCAAACAAGTACCTGGGGAGCAAGCAAGCAGCCGTAAGTTGGACAGAACCATGAATCACATCATCTTGCACCAGGGCTGACCTTGGCACTACACCTGAATTTCTGGGTGAGTCCTAAACCCAGGGAGAACAGAGGGGAAAAAACCTACAATGTTCTAATCCCTAAAAGCATAACCTTTGGAACTCAGGGATTAGCCAAATCTAAACTGAACTGTATACCAATTTGGCACATATTACCACCTCTCATATGGCTTATGTGGCATAGGTTATATGGCATGCTTTAAAACAAGACAAACAAAAAGGGCTGGGATATAGCATGTCTACTTCAGGGAGCAGCAAGGAGCTTGTTAATATAATTTACAAGAGACATTTCTAAAAATCCATTTTGTAATTTAAAATAAAAATGCTTAAAAAAAGTGAGAGTGTTTCTTAAACTTTCAAAAACCTTTATGAAATACAGTCTTTCTTCTACAAGGTGCTTGTGTCCGCTGCAATGGGCATTGCTGTTAATAGCTAATCCCAGAAGGGGAGTGGGATAGTGAGGGAGGAGAATGCACCCAGCTCTTGTAAGATACCAGCTCTTTACGATGAGTATTATACAGAGGCGCGGCAGTCTGGAATGTTGTAAATAGGGAAATTCTGGGGTGGGAGACTCAAAATTCAGTAAACAATGAAACATTAGAGTTTAACAATTCTGACTTTTTTGCTTCTTTCCATAGTTTACGTAATTATTTTACTCTCAAAATGTTCAGGAAACCACCACAGTTTGCTTCTCCACTGTCGTTAGTGTGTAATACTGATCAGGCAGCGTGCATGGCAGAGGAAGTTCTGTTCTGCAGACTCGGTGCAGAGCCTGAGGTTAAGTGACATTCAGAGAAAAATCAAACCAAATGACTAAAGTGACAAATAGAGATTTTTTCACTTCCCTGGGATTCCTTGGCATTTTGTGCTGTTGACTATTGATGCATAGTTTGTAGATGGTGGGTCCCTCTTCTCAAATGTTCTCTTTTCTTCCTGTCTAGGAGGAAGAATCCATCACGATTTCTTTTTTTTTTTACTCTTCCTTCTCCAGGGAAAATAATTAAAAAGGAAGACAAGATTTTTATTTATTTTCTTTTAGAAAGCAGCCCACACCAGCCCGCACAGTCCAGTCCTTTTCCTAGAGCCATAGACACACAGAATTCAGAATTGAGGCCTCTTGGTGTTCTTTGCTTTTCACTGTGTGCTTCATACATGTAGCTTAAATACAAGTTTTTTTTCCTTATGAATTAACCCGTCTCCAAAGCTGGCTTTGCTTACACAGTTCTATGTCCTCCTGGAAAAATTCTTAGTTTTCATTATGGGGCCTTCCGTTGGTTCATTCCAAGTGATCCCTTCAAAACGAAACAACCTGTGGGCTCCATGGCTCTCCTTTGACACCATTTATAACTTACTGAGTTATGTGATTCCCCTAGGTGGGAGTGGGTGTGTGCAGTGGAGGTCAGCCTGTTAGAAACACAAGTTCATGTCAACGGCAATCACAGCTAGCATCGAGCGGAAATCTCATTTCTTGCAGCCAGTGACTGTTTACTTTTTGCTACTTCTGACCTGTGGATGATACTACGGACCTCCTGGTTTCCATTGGGCTGCACTAAGGAGTCTTGCACAAACAGGTAAGAAATGTTCCACTGTTTCCCTCCCATCCTCCAGCAATGACAACAGGCTCCACAGTCATCTACTTGTAATCCCAACCTGGCAGTGCCTTAGTTTTCTAAAGAGAAGCCAGAGCTTCTTTCCTATGTTTGCATTTCATAGCTTCAAGGCTCAACCATCAACAAACTCCAGAAAAGTGCTTCTAGAAAAACAGAATCCAAAAGCCTATCGCTTATGTTGATCCTGATTCTTGAATTTCAATCTCTTCCAGAACTTGATTACTTCCTTCCGAGCATCACTTGCTTTGGACAGTGTAGGCCACACAAAAATACTATACAGAATGTGAGATCAAAAGCATTTTTTCCTGTGCTAATCGATGGCTTATAAAATCCAGTTCTGGAAAGGAACTGGAAACCTTGAGAACCACATCTTGATAAGCTCCTGGAGGCCAGTCTAGATCTTGAAGAAGCGACAGGTGTTTACAGAGCTGCTCTGAAATTAGTCTTGCTTGTTATCAGCAAGATGGAGATCATGACTAGTTTTTACTTTGGCACACAGAAAGTTATCTTTCTCCAGCTGTGAGGCAGTCTGCAAGGCCCAAGTATTTTCTGCCATCACCACATGGCGTCTGATGACACAATGAGCTCCCAGAAGCAAATCTGTCAGCTCTACATGGCCAAATCACAGGCCCTGCTGGCTCCACAGAGGCACTTTGATAATGGTTCAAAATAGGAGCACAGAAGAGGGATGAGAGGAAAGCTGGTCATGGAAAGGTAATGTCTCTAGCCACAGACCAAAGAAATCCTTTGGGGCAGCTGTCAGCCAGGCGCCATCGCACACATTCATCTTCTTTGTTTTGCACTTTTTCATCACCTTCTTTTGGTTGATTATTTTTTTTCTTCCTCTTGTAATTAATAATTTAGCTTTGTCACCACCCGCTCCCGGCTTGTCTCTAAGCCTTGGTTCCCCGAGCGCTTGCGGTTACGCTTGAGCTTGGATAAGTCTTTGTCAAAGACTTCACCCGACCTTAATGCTGACACCAGGTCATCAAACTCCCCACTCTCTTCAGAGATGCTTCCAGCTTTTGCTTTCTTTTGTCGCCTCTCTTTTTCCCTCTGCTCTTTTAGCTGTGGAGAAAGACACAGAGCTTTAGGGTTAGCTAACCAAGATGCCAGATCATTCACAAGGCCACCACCTGTGCCAAGTGCAACAGGTAACCATGCTGGGCTTCCCTTCTGCACAGACAAGCAAAGAGCCGGAGAGATGAGGAATGAGTAGCATTGTATGTTTGCCTCACAAAGTGCTACCTGGAGCAAAGAGGACACATGGGATGTGTATGCTGCTGCTGTTTTGCACTAATTTTTGCACTTGGGGCATGGCTAGCTAAATTATCAGGCAGAAAGGCTGCAGTCCCACAGAAGGAGGAAAAGAAGAAAGGAAAAACCCCAGAAAGCCACAACCTAAACATACTGGAGAATGAAAATGGTGTGAGGTATCAAAACATGAACAAGATCCCTATCCACCAAACAGCTCATGTTTGGATGGAGGCAGTGTGTTGCAGTGATGGGAAAAAAAAAAGCAATGAAACATGACTGCAGATTTTACAAATCATTGGTAGGTCCACGTGTCAATCCTTGGTCTCCCCAGGGTAGCTCCAGAGATTTTGTTTTCTCTCTTCCGCTGCCCACCTCCAAGATTAGTGGAAATGGCAAGGGATGGATGTGGCTGTCAGGAAGCAGCTCACTCACTCCTGCATGTTGCAGGAAGACTCTTTCCATAAGCAAACTGCAACCTCTCTCATGGTGTATTAGGCCTACAAAACCATCCCAGGGCTTTAACAGCAGGATCCTGCACTTTCCAGGATGGTGAGAGAGGAATCATAGAATCAACTAGGTTGGAAAAGACCTTTAAAATCATAAAGTCCAACCATTAAAGGAAGCTTGAGCCTACGTCCTAGCTTAGGACTGGATGTCCTGGCCCTATGTCCAACAGTAAGGCTGCTGGCATCCCAGAGTTTTACCTCTCTCCTCTTCTGAAAGACACAAACTGGTGCTGCTGGCACAGCAAATATTTAAAGCAGCGTCTCCCCACAGTGAGGCCATGGCAGGGGGGAAGGAGGCAGGGGACAGTTGAGCTATTCTCAGGCCTCAGGAAAGGCTGAGGTTATAGGCAGAGGCTGATTCACACGAATCCCTGGGGACACACGTCTGTCTCCCAGGAGCAAAATCAACAATGCACAAAGCTCTCTCACCACGTCAAGGCCAGACACAGCCCCAGTAATCAAGGCACTAAGGCTGGCCAGAAATACTGCCAGTGTGGGCTGCAGCAGGTGCCAGGGCATTCGCTGTGTCCCTGTGCACTGTCAGGCGACAGGCATGCAGCAGGTGATGATGAAGTCTGAGTGGAAGCTGACCAGCTGGCAGGACCGAGGGGGATCAGGCTCCCAGAGCTTTTGCACAGAGCCTGCAGCACGAAAGCAGGATAGTCTGGCACTGGGCTTGGGCAGCACCATCCTGCAAAGTGCCAGGGCAGAACAGGCAGGGCTAGATTTGGTATCTGAATCCAAAAGAGGGTAATTTAGGAGCCAAACAGTATGCCCTTGAGAGTTGGCAGGACAGACAGCAGGAAAAACGTCATCATTTACAAAAGGAATGATGCCAAAGAGAGGTGGCATGGAGAAGGACATATACCACTGACAGGACACGAGCATTTGAACTGGCTCTCTCAGCCTTTCTCTCTCGAGACATGAAAAGGTGATGGAAGGAAAAACCTTCCTGTGCCCAGGTCCTACCATGGCCTCCATGCGTGCCCTGCGCTCCTCTTCTTCCTTTTTCTTCCTCATATTCTCCAGATCTTGCTTGGCCTCTGCAAATGACTGTAAGAAAGTGTCGAAGATGCCAAAAAATTCATCAGGCTGCATCTTGCCCTCGCTCTCTCCAAAATGCTTCAGTGCCTTGGCATACTGTCAAGGGGGCAGAAAACACAAGAGCAATAATTAGGTAAGCAGTTTGGTGAAGACAGAGAGGAAAGCTTATGAGCAACCACACATATCATTCAATGCCCTCCGAGCATTCATGCAGCGAGAGCAGAAACTTGGCCCTTCCCCACAACAGAAGCACCCTTCCTTAAGGCAGATGTCTCTGTGGCCTGAAGTACCTGCTCCCCTAGATATCCTTTGGGCAGCATGGGGCAACAGTGCTGGAGAGCACTAGCTGTTCATTTATGCAAAAAACCCATGTTCAGTGCCTGAGGGTGGTAAAGTTCAGAAGTTGACTGTCTAGCCACATCTCAGCTGCAGCTGTGGGACAGCAGGGGCATGGAAGACAGTGAGCTTGTGGGGAAAGAAGTAGTTTTAGCCCATCCTTTCCCCTTCCATATTCCTTTCAAATCCAATTTTTAAATGGCTGAAGTTAGAGGGCTTTTTGTAGTAATGTTACATTCTGTCCTCTCAGGAGCCTTTGGCCATGTCATCCATCACCCTGGAGTCCTCTCAGTCAGGGTGTTGCCTGTGAGAGAGGAGACTATGGACAGACATGGCATGAGAGTGGGGCAGGGAAAGCAGCCAGGGCTCCCAGGCAGACTTAAAAGAGCATGAATACATCACAAGTGGCTTTTATTTTAAAAGGCAAATGTTGAGGCTGCAGAACACATGTGAAGGCAGCCAACTGGCAGGACTTCAGTCACAGAGCTGTCTTGATTGGGATAGGGTAAATTCACAGCATCCCCTGGCTCTTGGACATCAGTTCTGCAGTAGTTGTACTCTCTTCTTTGCTCCTGGACACTCACAGGCATGCCTCTCTACTCACCAAAACGCACTCAAATACATGCACATATAGTCTGTCCACAGCATGTTCATACATGTCCATTGAGTCCTATATAAGCGTACACATCTAAAAGCTGTATCATTGCCCAAACAGCTTCCCTCAAACACCTTTATATAACAGGCAGCACCAGCAACACTTCCTTGCTGGCACCGCTGCCCTGGTGCACAGCTCCCCTGGCATTCCCTGCCTGCATGGCACACACCAACACCGAGCAGCAGAGCGTCCTTACAGACCTCAACATTTACCAAACCCAGACTCTCCCAAGCTATAGACTGCCTTCAAACTCTCTTGTGTGTGTACTCAGCTCACACTAACACAGCCCAACTTCCCTTTCCTTAGGTGGGTGATCTTGAAGAATGGAAAAGACAGTAAGAACAGTTCAGGCTGCAACCCCAAGCACAAAATAAGTTTGGAAGCAGGTCTTATAATCCCTCTGGCCCCGTACCAGGTAAAGCATAAACAATATCTCCCAGTCAGCTGCAGGGGGAAGAAATCTCCAGGGAAAGCAGCTTCCTTCTGGCACAGCCTGAGAGATTCATCATCTCCCCTTCTCTGCTTTCCCTGCCAGGCCCACAAAGCAGTTTGGAGCAATAGATTCTTTTTTCTTTAAAAAGGCTGCATCGTCAGCCAGAAACAAACAAAGAAACTCAAAGTATCTGGGAGGAAAAAACGTGTTGGAAGAAATGCATATTGCTTTGAGCTACCAAACATGGCAGGAGCTGAAGCAAGCACTACAGCAGCATGTCAGGGGGGGACTTCAGAGTATGGAAACAGCAACAGATTAGTTCTCTGGTTTAACTCCTTTTCTCTAAAACCTCCAAAGATACACACACACGAGTATGCACACCTACTCCCTCTTTCCACTCCCATCTGTATATATGTATTTCCCCTGTATATAACATAAACATAGTCTGCTTGAATATTAGGAAAGTGCAGCAGTCTCACAGTAATCCAAACCAACCAGCACCAGCTCTTCAGCGGAGAAAATACAGGCTGTCAATACTGCAGGAGGAGATAAATCATCTCCATGTGCTATATATTCTTGGCATGCCTCAGCATGCCAATCAGCCAGGGAAACAAGAGTGCCAGAGAAAGACTTCAGCACAAGCATTGCCACCACTGCTTGAGCACAATAGAGCACTTGAAGCTCATTGCTTACAGGAGACGTGCTACCTCCAATCTCTTCCCACTTGTGGTTAACTCCTGTGACAATTGAAATAAGGTGTAAATTAAGAGCAGCAAGTAGAGCTGCCAGCCAGAAGGAAGACTTGTCCACCTCCTGTGAAGCCTGAAACCCAGGAGCAGCCCATAGGAGATGGCTATTGTACCTAGTGCCTCTGTCCCCTGCAACCCTCCTGTACACAGCCAACATGGATGAGGAGGCACGCAGGAACTGAGCTGGTCTGAGCCCAAGAATGCCCACAGGGGTTTCCTGGACTCTTAGGGAAACTGGGGTTTGAAAAGGAGGGGGTCCTTGCCTGGGGGTCTTGGATCCTACATACATGGAATTTTCCATTAGAGGGTGGTGTTGTCTGCAAACGTTCTGCACATGGCCTGTCACCCAACTACCAACACCATCTAGTTCTTGTCACACTAGCAGAGGGGCTTTTGCCACTGCTTTCCCACTGACACTCAGACGAGCAACAGTGTTGCTGTGCTTGAAAGACCCAGCAGCCTGGGACCCTTCCAGAGACACTCATGAGTATAAGGCGCTGTGATCTCTAAGCAGCAGCGAGTCGGAGGCTGAGACCATCCCGTCTTTGGTGCCCTGTAACATGGCTTGCTAGGTCACAATCACTTACTGTAAAGCAGTGAAAGATGAAAAGCAAGACTCTGAGCACTAGATGTACTAAAATAACTACAAAAGAGAAATCTGCAGTTCACTGAAGTAAACATTTTTCTTCTTTCTCTACCCCCTTTGGAAAAAAAGCTGACTGAGCAGAGGAAGGCAAGTCAGGAGATCCAGTCTCTGCTGCCAAATCTGCCCATAATGTGGCTTGGGAACTCATGCTCCCTCTCTAAGTCTTCCTTTCTCCATTTGTTACAGAAAGGAAAAGTGTTGCCTCACTAATATGGTATAAGAAATGGCAAAAAAAATCAGTTGCTCACATCTGTAGGGCACTACATCAACTCAATGCACTACTGTAAACTGTATTTTCACTGTTTAAATTGCAACAGACCCCTCTTGTTTTATTACTTCTATTTCCCCATAGCTCTGGTCCTGCAACCATGTGTGATTTTTTGAAGCACTGGTGCTGGGATGAGGGTCAGCAAGCTGCTGGAGGCAGCCTTCCCAACCCTGGTACGAAGCCCAGGCTCCTACCTCCTCACAGTGGTTAAAACCACACTGCCTGCTTCACTCATGGCAGTGTGGCACAGACCTAGGTGCTCTGGGCCCCAGCCCTCTCTTCTGCTCTCTGCCACAGGATCTGTGTCACTCCATTCAAACCACTGGACTGCTCCATGGGCAGACTCCCTGAAACAGTACCTGCTCTTGCCACAACTGTGAAATCTGTAGCAAAGACCTCATGCACACAAAACACTTCCCAGAATTTTGTGACTTGCTGTAATAGTGTGGAACAAGGGTTGAAACTTGCTTGTTCCTGAAGTCATTTGGGGACAGATGACATGGGCAAAAGCAAGGTGGAAAACTGTTTCAGCAAGTTTTGCCACTGTAATACAGGATAGTGTATCTTCTTTTTTTCTCTTCATTAAAACATTCATTTCCACACCATAAGGGCCCCCATGCTCCATGATATAACAGGTCCACAAGCTCAGTGCCAGCTCTGCTTCCTCTGCCAAACTTTCCACTGAATTCATCCTCTTGCCAAAGCAAATCGTTTAGACAGTTGTTTATTTTAAAAAGCCATTTTAGCAGGGAGAGGGAAAGCGGGACAGCAGCACACACGCTCTCTGCTGTGCTTGCCAATGAAACGTTAAACGGTGGCAGAAGAGCTCTAGAAACAGCAGGAACGGGCCTCTAGGAGGAGGAAAACCAGCCATGGTAAAAATTGCATGCTGTCTGTGCTGTCTGCTAGTGCCAGAGGAGCCAATGTATGAATGAATTATACCAAGTAGCCATGCACTGTCTTCCCCAGAGAATTAATCTTGAGTTTGCTATTATGAAGACTCCAATCCTGTACTGAGGCAGTTCAAATAATGTCTTTATGGGACAGATTCAGAACAGTTAATGAAAAAAGCCCAGTCAATTTCAGGCAGGGCTGGGCTCAGCACTCCTTGTACCTACATGCTCTTAAAGAATTCTACCAGGAGTTCAAGAATGACTCTGGCAGCTCCAAAATCGAGATGCAGGTACTATAAACATCCCTGATATGTTAGACGCCAACCTGGCCTGAAGCATCTGCAATTCTAAGTTACTAGACAATAGCTACATAATTCATTTACCAAAAGGCTGTTCCTGACAGCAGGCTGTGGTGCCAGCTCATGCCCTTTGTAACACACATTGTCTTGATTTCCTCAATCTCCATCCTGATCCTTATTCATTAGCCCCAGTGGCTGACAGAAAATACCAGTCCCCCAAAATGAATGACTGAAGTGCACAGCCTGTAACTGGCACTTGGACTACAGTATTTCCGTGTGCTTTATAGCATTCTGCCATTAATTACTATTTTCTTAAATGGATTTTGGCTTTCACTGCCTTTCTGTTCTTCAAAACAGTTACTATATGTGCTAAGCTTATTAAATGCATGTGCAGAGTCTGAACTCCTTTCTTTATGATGATAAACATCCTGCTTGAGAGGAGCTGTCATGAGAAAGACTGGGGATGGACACTTTTCCTACCTGCCTCATCAACCTTGCCCATGCAGTGACCTCCACTGTGTCTCTACAGAGAGGCTTAGAGGTTAAGGTCAGACTGGACCAGGCTTTGAGCAACCTATTCTAGTGGAAGGTGTCCCTGCCCAAGCCATGGGGGGTTGGAACTTGGTGAACTTTAAGGTCACTTCCAACCCAAACCATTCTGTGATTCTATGATCACAGGAATGGCAATGCCTGATTCAGCAGACTTTGTTCTTCTAGAAATACCAAAAATATCTTAAAAACAGGTTTGTTATAAACCAAGCACAAATTAGAACAGTTATGAAGCAGTCTAGCAATTTAAGTTCATACCTATCAACATTTAAGTATGTTGTAAAGCTTCATATAGGGCAAATGTTACCTTTTTCAAGTAGGAAAATAAAATTAATACCACGGCAGGTTACTGTTCCTCTGCTTGGACATTTTCATTATTTCCCCACGGGAAACACAGGGAAAAATATTCACAAACAAAATTCAACCCCATTTTGTTCTTTCTGATGTAAAAAAAAAAAAAGGCTTTTTGTCATGTGTTCAAACATGTAAAAACTGATGAAAGATTCCAGGGCAGAATTTCACTTTCTCCTGCCCCACCTTCCAGTTTATGGGAAACGGCAGAAAACATTATCCCTTGATCTAATCTATATATTCCCTTATAAACTGGCATTGAAAGTGAGAAAAACACAACAAGAACAAGAACCAGCTGTGCTAGGGAGCCTGTTTAAAGAGTCAGTCTAAGTTTTCAATCAGTTCTTAACCAAGCCATCTGTTTACTGCATGAAGATACGTACAGTTACAAGGCTTCCTCTGCAAACATGGATGCCTGTATCTGACAACCTGGCCCTTTAAGTTTAAAATATCACTTCCTCCCCATGGCCACTAACTGTAAATGGTCCTGGTTTAAGCAAAAAGGCCAAAAAAAGTACTGCATGGGATTGTGAAAAATATCCTCTACCGAGAAGGTCAGCACCACACCTTCATAATGGATTGTTTCCATAAATAAAAGGAATGAAGAAATGGCTTTTGCTAATACTGAAGGCATTCTAAAAAATAAAAAAACTTCCCAGGTTTGAAAAGATAAGTTGTATTGTTTTAAATCCCAGCTGAGGAAACGTGGCTCTGATTACCTCGTGGCAATCAATTAGCCACATCTATATTTAGGATATCCAACGCCAGCTGTTAAAACTAGGGCTTCATTATTATTAATAAATCTATGAACCAGACCTATTCTTCATGGGCTCATTAGGGTATTTTTCAAAGTCTTCCTTCTCCCACTACCTTTTTTCTCAATTTGCTTTGAGAAATAAAAAAAGTACAGGATAATCAGATGCCTTGGTCCCTCTCTTCCTTTAATTGGAGGTTATAGTAGGTTTCCATGGTAAGGAAAACCTTGTGATTCAACAAGCACAGAGAGCCCATTGAGGTTGGAGGATGTTATAGGCTTTGCAAAGCACATCTGGTTTGTTGAAAATTTCCAGCTTTCTTCCCCCCCCCCCCTTTTTTTTTCTTTTTTAAGAAAAAAAAGAGGAAAAAGAGGAAGAAGAGAGGGGAAAAATAATATGAGGCAAACATGAGAAATAGCTCAGTACTGGAGCACTCATAAGGACAGACAGTTCTCTTTTAGGAGTCCAAAAGCAGTCAGTGGAAGACACTTCTTTGCCAGTGGAAGAAACAAAGCCATAGGTTGAGCAGAAGCTGGAATGGCATGTGTTCAAACATAGTAAGGGTGTGTGAGGAGAAGGTAAAGAAACGTTTCCTAAGCATGTTATAGTCATTAAAATAAAACATCTCTTTATGTCGAGTGCTTTATGTTGGCTATGCCTAAAAAAGCATGCAGCAACTTCCAGACATATTGGTCTGTCTGTAGGGAGATTCTCTGGTTATTATTAAAGCAAAAGAATGGCATTTTTCCTGCAACTGCCTGATGAAGAAAAGTTTCATTGCTGTGCTGGACATGTACCACTTGCTTGTTTTTAACCCCTGAGTGACCTTGTAAAGAATCTGCCTTGGGCTTTTGTCCTAGTGCCAAAAGAAAGGACCACCACCATGTTAGCACCAAAACAAAAGCAGGCAGTCTAAGCCTAGGACAGAGTGAATTCACTTTCAGAAATGTGCACATAAGTATAATGAAGTTAAAAAATTTACCCACTCATAAAACACAAGCCCCCAAACCATAAAAAATGAACTTTTCTCAGTAAATTCAGTGAAGATACAGAATATAAAATATTTGTTTTGTGCAAGTCCATATTACCAACATTACCTCCACAGCAAGGACATGCAGAATGACATTACTGCAGAGAGACTGCGTAAGTGAGGAGTTTTACTGTTCAGATCCACAGTCTGTATTTTGCCTATCCTTCAAAATTTAAGGATTACCAATCCAATGGCACAGGTTTTGTTAATAATGCAATAGAACTCTTAGCGCTACAAGGACTGATACCAGAGGTGGAAACAATTCAATCCAAAAGAAATAACATATTTGCTTCATAAAGTCAAGCACTTTTAACGTGCCAGCCAACAAGGGCAGATTTGCCATTACGTATCGTTTACTTTAGAACTTGCTCTTCTCTAAACATTTTCATATGCTTATGATCTTTTCATATAAATTCTTCCTCATTCAGCTGAGAGACAGAGGGATTAGTGCCAGAGTCCAATCATCAGCAAAGAACAAGCACCTCTTTAGTTGTACAAATCTGGTAATGAAGATGCAGACAGTGATAGGACAAAATGATAAGAGCAGCACCTGAAGAGCAACATGCACGTGGTGCTGGCTGTGTAAGAAGGATCCGAGAATGTCAGACAAACTATGCATGTTTGGGATTTCCATCCTTGCAATTAAATACAAGCAGTAACAGAGAAGTATACATGGAAAAGATCAGGTATTCAGGGTTACCAAACTACCCAGAGGTGTATTTTTAAAGGAAATGAAACACAAATGTCCCCAGCTGAATAAGCACAGTGGGATGAAGTAAGAAGAAGGTGAAAGATATGAGGTCACTATCAGTAATCACCAAAGGACCTCTTTTTGAGAGACTGCTTAAAAGCAGTCCCTTCAACACAACCACATGGTGTGATATTCTGGTACAGATGTTGCCATCGCAATTTTATGGAACACATGGATAATATTAAGGAAGATTAGTAAGAAGCGGGCGAGAGCATCAAACCTTCTTTTAATCCTAAAATGTATTCTAAATCGCTACAGACTAGATTAGGAAAAGTAAGAAACTTCAGCCTAAACCACTTTCAGTGTCTATTACAGTTTTCACTACAGTCTCAGCATCTGACATTGATACTTCCATTTTCATCAGGCTTTTGACTGAGCCAGTGAAATCCCAGACACTTCAGAAAGTATTCTTACCTTGTCTCTAGCCTCGTTGAGAAGGTCTTCTAACTCTGAGAAGCTGAAACTGGCCACGGTGATGAAATCACTCATGACGGGAACAAACCTGTCCCCTGATTCCCGCATGCGTCTCTTCTGATAATCCAGTTCCTGAAGAGAAGTAAGAGATATAGACAGGCAAGCATCAAAGATTTCTTGCTGACAAGGAAGGGAACAGGGAAGCCCATCTATTTCACTCAGTGCAGAGCATGCTGTGCTCCCACTCCTCACACATTCATCAGAGCTATAATTCAGAAACCATTTTCTAACCTAGTCAAAGGTTTTGCCTTTTCAGTACAAGATGGAAGGTTAAGATGGGATGAAGGAAGGTCCTAGTTACGGTTCCCTTTATCCTCAAACAACAACCATCCCAAGAAAGCCATCAACATGTTCAATTTTTAAAACAACTTTATAATCTAAACATTAAGTACATTAAATGCTGCTTTTTTTTTCCTATGCAAAATGACAAATAATAGAGAATTCAGATTGTGTAGCAAGTGAATTTGGAATTTTTAATAGTGAGCTTCCCTCCATCTTCTCTTCCCATGGAGGCTCAAAAGCTGTATTCTTGGGGAAATGTGTACCTGTGTGAATAACTTATATAGTTTCCAGCTCTGGATCTTCCCTTTAGTTCTCTGAAAAGCACTAGGTGGACAGCAAAAAGACATCAAAATTAGTTCTCCCACTGAAGAATCATAGAATAGTTAGGGTTGGAAAGGACCTTAAGATCATCTAGTTCCAACCCCCCTGCCATGGGCAGGGACACCACACACTAAACTATGCCACCCAAGGCTCTGTCCAGCCTGGCCTTAAACTCCTCCAGGGTTGGAGCATTCACAACTTCCTTGGGCAACCTATTCCAGTGCCTCACCACCCTCACTGTGAAGAACTTCTTCCTTATATCTAACCTAAAGTTCCCCTGTTTAAGTTTAAAGCCATTACCCCTTGTTCTACCACTACAGTCCCTAACGAAGAGTCCCTCCCCAGCATCCTTGTAGGCCCCCTTCAGATACTGGAAGGCTGCTATGAGGTCTCCACGCAGCCTTCTCTTCTCCAGGCTGAACAGCCCCAACTTTCTCAGCCCGTCTTCATATGGGAGGTGCTCCAGCCCTCTTATCATCCTTGTGGCCTCCTCTGGACTTGCTCCAACAGCTCCATGTCCTTTTTATGTTGAGGACACCAGAACTGGACACAATACTCCAAGTGAGGTCTCACAAGAGCAGAGTAGAGGGGCAGGTTCACCTCCTTTGACCTGCTGGTCATGCTTCTTTTGATGCAGCCCCGGATACGGTTGGCTTTCTGGGCTGCAAGCACACACTGCCTGCTCATGTCGAGTTTCTCATCAACCAACACCCCCAAGTCCTTCTCCGCCGGGCTGCTTTGAATCTCTTCTCCGAATAGGCAGACAGATGTCGGCTGCAACATTTGCTAGCACCCTGCTAACCAGTAAGCATTAGCTTGGATTCATAAAAGTCACACTTACAAACTGGGGCTATTGTGATAAGAAGATATATGAAGAAGAAAAAAGACCTCAAAACATAAAACCACAGGAAACTAAGCTCTATTTGTCCACTACCTACAGAAAGAAGAGAAAAATAAATTGTGAGATTCCTTCTTTCTGGCTCAAGTTTTTCTGTTTTAAGCCAAGATTACCCACGCTGTCTCTTCCCTTACTCTATTGACCATGCTTGTGTCACAGAAAGAGCTACAGAGCTCCTCAAAATGACCAAGTTATAGCAAGAATGGCAGTATCCCATGCCTGTGCTTGGCTTGCGTGCTGTTGACAGTCTCATGGGGACAAGGAAACCATAATCTGGGCCTCATCTTTATTCTCAGCTGAATAATCAGTGGGAACGCTAAAGCCTTGGAAAATCAGCATGAAACAGCAGGTCAAGTTACAATCTGACCCTCTGTTCCCTTTGGAAAAAAATGTTTTTGTGCTGGCTGCAGCTCCAGCTACTTGCATGTCTGGTGCTCTGTTACTGGTCATCAAAATACTAGTTCACAGAGCCAAATGGGTAGGTTTGTAAGCGTCTATGCTGAGAAGCTCCTTGGGATTTGCTCCACAGTGCTGCTGAATGCAAAGAATAGCTTTGGCCATCAACAATCTAAAATCAGATGTGATATATCTTCTGGTCTGATGCAAGTTGGAAAGAGAACGTAACCACCACAAGGAAAGACCACAAGGCAGAAAAGGGAAGGAAAAAGGAATGAGCAGATGGCCAGAATAAAATCCACATTAAAGAAGTGCTCCTTCCCCTGCTTTATATTACATTGTCTTCTCCACTGGTTTTCCAAACACATCACACGGCGTGGTGCTGGGAGCACGACTCATTTACATCACTTTCCAATTAATTGTCTCTATGTTACAATCACTTTGAATTGGACCTTACAAGTACAAGACATGTCACTTCACATGCTTCTAAGAATTATTCACAGTTTTTTCAGCCACTCTTTTAAGTTAATTTTAGCTGAAAGTTGCTCTACCCTCTGTTCTCCTCTCCTCAAGCAAGTGAGTAAAACTGTTCTGTCATCTTACACATTGTTGAAAGCCATGTCACTTGGGATGTTACTGGAGAGCAAACTAAGATTAGATGGTCTGCCCTTCAATTTCAAATCCAGTCCTTCCCTGCAGAATAATTCTTCCAAAATAAAACCCAAAAAACAACAAAACACGCAAGTAACCAGCATGACTATGTAATCAGCCCAAGAGTGATGCCAGAGAATAAGAAACTTCTCTGTATCTTCTAGAAATGGTCTATACTAATCATAACAGCGTAACAGGAGAAGCTAGGAGAGGCTCCTGTGGGCTGGGCTGCTGATTCTCTAGAGAGATTAAACATTCAGGCACAGCAGTGGCTTCTCAAGCAGTTGTTATGATCTTCTTGCTGTGTGAAAGAAGGGCCCTGCTGACAGAATTCACTTCCTGATTTGGAGACCAAGAACTACTTAGCTATCCTTCTGGGAGCATCCTACACAAAGGCAACAGCTGCATGCACCTCTTGAAAATGACTGTGTCTTATTTTTACAAGGAAGCTTCTAGTCCAGGAAGGTAAATGGTTAACAGTACCTTTAAGAACATCTGACTGTGAAACTATTTTTAGCTTTCTATTCTTAAGGGGCCTTGAAGAAACTTCTCAGTCACTGGAGCCAAGGCTGTGGTGAGAACACACTGGAATGGAATCAAGAATCACACCTTCCCCTCCTCCACCTTCCACCTGACAGTGATCTTCTATTGTTGCTATAGTGCTGCTTTTTACACGCCAGAAAACCACGAATTGAGCAAGCAGACTGGGAGGTGCTGGCAGGTCCAGTCGAAAAATACCACGGCAGGGAGAAGACTAGGGCAGGAAAATGGTGATTGAATGGGAACGAGAGGTTGTCCATGGAACCCACGTATGAGAAATAGAAGAAAAATTGGCCGTAAAGGCGAAACAAATAACCCAGTCACAGAAAACAAAACAGAAGTAGGCACTCTCATTTCAATGGTGGGGGGGGAGGAATTGTGTGTCTCACCCAAAACTTGGCCTCTCTTCATGACATGAACTTCCATGTCAGCTGTCCCTTTACATGTGCTTTTAATTCCCAAAGACTGCACTCCATAGATGCAGCAGTATCTTTGCTCATTGCTGCATTCTCCCTTACCCCTACAATCCAGAAATAAGGTTTGGAAAGTCTGTTTTTTTCATGGAAAGATCACTGGCTAATTACACGACGAACTGTTGGAGACAGCCAGGCAGCCTGGTTGTTGCTGACAGGACGAAGATCCCTTCCTTTTCTCCCAGTTCCCAACCAAATTCAGGCCAGATAAAAGGAAAATTAAGTCATCACTGTCTGTCTCACAGTAAATGAGAAGGACTGGAGGGTCCTGTGTTAGATCCTTGTACATAGGTAATCCTTGCACAGAAAGCGCTCAGTGCAATTCCCAACAACTAATCCCTTTGCCAGCAGACCCAGTACAGAATGCTCCCCATCTCAAATACACCGCTAGCATTAAATCGACATGAGTTGAAAAAGACAGGTGAAACACTTCAAGACAAAAGGATGCTGAAAAGCATGGCTAACAAAACCCTGTGTGAAAGGGCAAAGAACAGTTAAACATAGCAGGGACTTTCTTGAGTTCTCAAGACATCTGCAGTACTATTGCCTTAGTATATCCAACAGGCAAGAGATGCCAGCACCAACTTAAATGTAGGATTTTGTTTCTATACTTGCAGAGAGACAGAAGGACATTCTTAGGGTCAGAATGTATTTGCCTGTAGATGACAGGGACAGAGGCAATACTTTAGTCTTAATATTTACTTTTTCAATTGCTGTGCAAACACCAGTTTGCCATTCCTCCCATCAGGCACTGTGAGAAGTAGGTATTTGTAGCTGCCATTTCACAAAGAGGAGAAAATCATAGAATCAGAATGGTTAAGGTTGGAAAGCATGAGGTTGTCCAAAGCCATACACGTCAATGACATAAGCAAGAGGCGAATATGAGTGCTCCTACCTCCTTCCACTGAGGCAGGAAGGAGGTGTCATGCTCTGTGCATCCCTGTCTCAGTTAGGCTGGAGTCTTTCCCCAGGAACAAACCCAAAAGGTTAACTAATGCAAGCTTCCAGAGAGGGGAACCACAGCTGACACGTGAACTTGTGGCTTCAGGGAGCATTTGGGCCCACCTGTCATTTTTAACCCTTGTAATTAAGTACATACAACTGCATCAATGCACCATTTGTACTGTTCTCTGTTGAGATGTAAGGCTCTGCACTATGTAAATATAAACTGAACACAGGCAAACTAAGTCCAGCTTAAAAGACTTTCATTAACAACAGGAAAATCCACCATTGTCGCTTTGCTTGTCAGCTCAGTTCCCTCATCTTTAACTAGTTTATCTTTTCCTTTGCCTTGCCAATGAGTGCTTAGGATATGTTAGGGTTGCATTTAGAAGTGCACTACCTATTTATTACTACTCCAAGAGCCATGTGAAACACTTGCTCAGCAGCTAGCCACCCCTCAGTAAGAAGGAGCAAGAATTTTATTTCTTCTTTCAGTCCATACCATTTGTCAAACTGTTCTTTTACTTTCCAGGCTTAGATCAAACAAGCTTTTCATTAGGCTTAACTCTGCTAAGATCATCAGCAGGAGCTCCACGTGAGAAGTTTTTCCTTGTTTTTATTTGGTTAATGCATTCTGGAACGGAATGGAAAGGAATGGAAAAAGAAAGCCTACTTTCTCTTATCATAAAATATATAGTGCCCCTGATTCTGAGTCAGACATTTGAAGTATGGTGCTTTGCAAACCTTCAGATACTTACAGCTTCAACAGCTTTCAATCCGTTCTTTATGTTGTTGACTTCCTTCTCCAGCTCTACCAGGCTGCACAGAAGACAGACACAGGGCAGATAAAACAAAAAGAGCAGTGTTACTCAGGAATACAGGAACTGTGCAGCAGAACAGACCATTGGCGCATCAAGTCTGGTATCCGGCCTCTGGCACCAGCCATGCCAGATGATTAGGAATGAGGGGAAGGGGTCTGGTTAATGCTCTGTGCTGCTTTTTGTATGAGATACAAGATGAGGCAGACCCTGCTCGCGTGTGGTCACACAGAAGATCAGGATTTTCCTGGGAAGAAGAGAGGGGGTTGCTGTCAGAACATCTGCCCTGTTGAGCCTGACCCTCCAGCAATGAGCGTATGCCACAGGGCCAGCTTGCAATAATTGGCTAACGCATAAGCAAGGACCCCAGCTTTACCACACGCATTACTGGGGTCTCAGATTATCTCTACATATGATTCTTGAAGTACTTAACTACTAAATCCCATTAGGAGTACATTTACATGTGATTTTTTACTTCCTCACAGTCCAAACATTGTTTTTTCCATCTGCATTTCTACCATATGGTAGTCCTTGCAAGCTTACATTGTAACTGAGTATAATACCCTGCTAATGTTAATATATGCTTCCCTACATACAAGTGCTGTACTGAATTTCTACTCATCATACATAAACAAAAGTTTTTTTCTAGGAGTTTTAAGAAAAAAAACCCCAAAACTAGTTAGTACCTATTTGTGAATAGGCAGGCATCTCCTCAAGTATTTGGTGAGTAGTAGTGTATATCCCAAAACCACCACTAAAGCCTTAATAAATTCCTTTAAGTGTGAATCTACATTTATTTTTTCATTTGTCTTTCATTAGCTGGAGTAGTTCCCTAGTTATTTACAAATGTTTTTGGACCAAAATTCTCTGTTAATGTACATCTGAATAACATCAAGAATGTGAGCAAAGGCATTTCAGTTGTAAGGCTGGCCATGAGTCTAGAAGACAGCAATGAAAAAACTGATGATCATTAAATTAACAGAAATCACTGGAAACTCCAGCTCTGGGAACAAGCAATAGCACTGGACTTACTTGACTTTTGCTGCTTCTGGAAGATGCTGCAACTCAGACTGAATATCTAGGATATCCGGATAATTCTTTTCAAAGATCATAATTAAGTAGTGCAAAAGTGTAATGTTTCTAAAAAAAAAAAAAAAAAAAGAAGAGAGAAATGAGAAAGAAGAAGGAAAAGGATGGTGGGAGGATTGTGACAAATCAGTGAAAAATATTTGGGTAGGAAATCTGCTTGAATGATCAAAACAAACAATATATCAGCAGTTAGCAGCTCTGTTACTGAAAGAAAAGTATCACAGACTGAAATGAATTAGCTCTTTATGAACCATTCTTCCTAAAAACCTCAAGCAATATATTGTGCCTTGATTTATTCTGGAAGTACCAGCATGCTTCCATCCATCTGTGTAAATGGTGTAACAGAAAAGAGAATTGTGTAACACAGTACAGTATTTTTCCCCAGATACTTCAGAGAATAAACAACTAATAGTACTGAAGTGACATTAACTCGTAAGGGAGAAGTGAGTTGTTCTCAGAGGCTATGTGAATAAAACCTAAGAGTTAACTAAGAAGAGGAAAAGGTCCTTGAAAAGAAAACTCCTACAGTAATGAAACAGCTATACTTATGAGTAGTGGTCGGGCTCGCTACTACAAAAGCGATGGCAGCTCAAACAGAAGTGGTTAAAAATGAGATGTATGAGAGATGCAGGAGAAGGTTTAAGAAATTTTGTAAAGTAAATGATGAATTTTGCATCAGTGAATTTTGCATGTAGAGAGAACAGCCAGCCATAACAGCTACTTGAGGTGGGTGTTATGTGGTTGACTGACAGGCAAGACAGCAGATGGCCACTGCTTCCCACAGACTAGAGCCTGGGAGCTGGGAACTGATGAGAGAACAGAATTTGCACAGGACATTCAATATAGGAAAAATCAAGCCAAGCTACATTAAGGCAAAAAATGTTCAAGACTAGCTACACAAGTGTTAGCCTTGGAATACAGAAAGGACATCATAGTAGTCAAAACAGAACTCTCTTAGTTCAAACTCTGTTAGGTAGGGATGATTTTCCTATGGGTTCTTACTGCCATCACTCATTCTGTCACAGCCTGCAGTCATTTCACCACAACTATGGTCTCAGCAGGTCTCACAAGTTAAGGTGTGAGTTAGTAAGAACTAGTATAAAAGAACTGAAAGGAAAATCTTAATGCTGCTGGAGCCCAAAAACTGTATTGTCTTACGAGTCACAGCTGGATTAATTTCCAGAACCAGTATGGGGATGTACGGCAAAACATGGGGTAGCACTATAAAGACCTGCAGCCCATGTCCATAAATAGCAAGCTCCACCTTCCTTCCCCAAACCAGCTATTTTCCTTAACTGCTCTAGGTACAACCTGGCTCAGTTTCCCTGAGCTATGCATTGTGGTTCCATTACTGGTGTAGGCAGAGTGCCAGTTTATGTCAGTCCTTGTCGTGGTTCAAGCCCAGTCGACAACTTGGAACCACGCAGCTGCTTGCTCACTCCCCTCCTTTTTCCTCTCCCCGCTCCCGGAGGGATGGGGAGGAGAATCGGAGGAATGTAACTCCCACGGGTTGAGATAACAGCTCTCCAGTAACTAAGGTATGATACAAACCACTACTGCTACCAATAATAATGATAAGAGGAATAACAAGGGAAAAGGACACAACCGCTCACCACCCGCCGACCGATCCCCAGCCCGACCCGAGCAGCGATCTGGGCCTTCCGGGTAACTCCCCCCAGTTTATATACTGGGCAGGACGTGCTGTGGTATGGAATCCCCCTTTGGCCAGTTTGGGTCAGGGGTCCTGCCTCTGCTTCCTCCTGGCTTCCCCTCCTCTCTGGCAAAGCATGAGACTGAGAAAGTCCTTGGTCAGCGTAAACGTTACTGAGCAACAACTAAAAACATCGGTGTTATCAGCATTGTTCCCAGGCTGAAAGTCAAAAACACAGCACTGCACCAGCTACTAAGAAGGAGAAAAAAAAATGACTGCTGTAGCTGAACCCAGGACAGTCCTGCATCAGAAACATATGCCATGTTTCACAGGAGACATAAAACTGTGGTCAGAGTTTTTTTGTGTTTTCTTTTTAGCAAAGCCACGGCCATAAAGCTTTGGTATAAAGGGCAAATTCCATACAAATCCTCCCTCCCCCCAAACTTATTTCAGTTATTTGTGAAATACTACTTTTGTCATCTTTGCATAGTGTTGCAGAAACACAATCCAACAACAGATGTGCAATATCCAAAGAAACAGCAGAACTTGAGTGCTGTGTTAATAGCTGGTCTTAACTGCTGCAGGATCTTTTAGAGTGAAAAACACTATTTAAATGCCAAATCTAACATTATTTTAAATGGTTTACAGAGATAAAAAACAAAACAAAACCTGCTTTCATTACTATGATAAGAAATGCAGCAGCATAGTAACTAACTCATTTACAGCCTTCTAGCGTACCTGTCTATGCTGGATTTGGTATCTGCAATTTTGTTCAGGCTGGAGACTTTGAAGCCATAAGCACTTCCCCTTTGGCCCTTGTTCATATAATTCCCGAAGGCCAGAACTACCTCCAGGAGTTGCCTCAAACGCTTGCTTCGGATGAGTTCTTTGGATGCCAGAAGAATGGCTTGAAAGAGGAAATAAAAAAAGAACAGGTTATTGTGCACAGTGGCTGTTTTTAACATGCTGGACCCTGTAATTTGAAGTACCCTAAAATGCCCATCTGACTATTGCCCAGCAAATGCTGCCACACAGTCTGTATGTATATTGTCCTTCCTGCACCCACACGCCCAGAACCAGGAGAACAGGAAGGAAGATGCACTACATCTAGACTGCAGGATGCTCATATGAACCCAGGAGCAAGGCTGTGCTCCTGGACCTCACACTCTAACAACATAGCTAGTGAGAACAGGGGGAAGGCTCGAGATCATCTGAAAATTCAGATTTGGATACACTCACCTCTTCCCTGCAATAACCATGGATATGGTGCAGAAGCCATACACCTCCCTCCTTGTAAGTCACACATTGCCCTGAGGCATGTCTTCTGACTACCCCAAGGAGAGGGAACGTACAAGGACTTGAGGGTGGGAAGGGAAGGCTGACCTGCACAGAAAGGCCATTAAACCTTTTGGCAGCTCAGCACAGCCTGGTAACACATTGTCACATCTGACAGGTCATATTTACAGTCATGAAAATTACTTCATTAATCCAAGGGGTGCAAGACGAATGTCAAACAGAATTCATTTCTTAGCACATGGCATGCCTCAGACCCACTGCCTCCACAACGATAGCACACATGTAATAGCACCTCCTTTGAAGACAAGCCTCTCTGGATGCAACTCTTAGCGATAGCTTTAACCATACCTTCCACTTTTGGTTTTGCTTCTGCCAGCCTCTCTGGAAACTTCTTCTTAAAGAATAATGCTTGCAGTCGCTGCTGATAGTGGTCAATCCTGCATGAAGGGCAGAAGAAAGCCAACACTAAACTGGAATTGTACTTCTAACCCCATGGCCAGTATACTGCCTATGTAATCTAACAGTTAGATGTTCAGTCTCAGAAGTCTCAGCCTGTGCATGGGATTACAGACATAGTTCAAACATCTAATGCTACCTAATTAACCTTGTTATGAAAATGGAGGACCTCAAGGCATATTTTGATGACAACTGAAAAGCAGCTGCAAGAATTCCCATTACTTTCAAAATGTGTGACTTATGGGAGATGCTAACTGCATCTCAATTAGCAGAACAAGATGTTAATCCTGACCAGGGGTATAGCAGTTGGAACAAGAAAGAAGGTCAGAGGATGAGATGAGATAGCTTTATGGAAAAAGGGATCTATATGAAATCCTGACCCCTGCCTATACTACATCTGATAGTTGTATCTGAATTCCTTTTTGTGAACAAGTTTAGCCAGAAGAGGCAAATTTCAGCTTGTCATCAGGGGACGGGTCCTTAAATGACAGCATGGAGAGTGCTTATCATCAATAAAAAGTCTGTGTAATGAATGGAAATATTTGTAACATTTGTGGGCTTCTGGCAAATGCAGGGTATAATGCTGGCCTACAACCTCTTGCACATTCCCCTTCAGTGCCAGATGACCCATTTTCAATAACAATTACAGCTGCTTCCAAGAAGCCCTCCGTGCACTTTCCCATAATGTATCAAACAGACCTGCTCATTTCAAAGAGAAAACGATCTGCCCGGGCCATGCGCTCAATTTCGTGTTTATGCTCCTCCAACAGGTCGGTATCGCTCTTTTCAGGAACGAACTTCAGCAGCTGGAGTAACAGACACAAACCAAACACTGAGATGAGAGGTCCAGGGGAAAGGAGAGAGGGACAGTGAAGCACAAAACACCCTGATGGAGAGACAGAGGGCCCTCAGATTTCTCTGCTACCATGGAGAAGCATTAGGTTGACTCAGCCATGTGACCGTAACTTCAAAATAGTGCAGCTGTGGAGACAAAACCGACCTTTTTTAAACCTTTGTTTGCTGTTCTGTCTTTATCCCTCACTGACCCCATTAGATTAATTCTTAACTCTATGGGGAATTTCCCATTTCTACATCCTAAAGGCCAACTGCTACCGCAACTTATCCAAGGGGAAGTAATGAGAGAACTTTGATTCCCACAGCATTACTTGGAGTTTAGATTGCTGCAAAAAGAGCAGGATGTGTCCCACTCAGTTTGAAGTACTCATCATGCCTATCCTATAGCACACACAAAGCCTCATCTATCTCTCTCTTGGATCTGCCCTACTCTGCTGAAACAATAAACAATAACCAAGTGACTAGATATGTGTCTGACACTGGCTACTATTCATATGCTGACCTTAAAAGCTCATACTTTGACAGATTTTTGACATATCTGGTGGTAGTTGTACTTTAGCATGGTTATAAATATTGCCATGCACACAGCCTCAGCACACACCCGCAAAAACTGCTCACAAGGCATTTCAAGCATTTTGCTTTTTACTTTTTAATATTTTATCCTACTCCCCAAAAATGTGATAGTCAAAAGTGTGGAGTATCAGAAGCTTGCAGTGACCTCTAGGGCAGCTGTGAGCATTCAGATAACAAGTAGGCTATAAATTTAAAATGGAAGAGCTTTTTTGTACATGATTAAATACTGTGGCTGCACACAAAGAAGGAATCACACTTATCAGGCGAACCAGGTGCAGAGGACAGGAGACAGTGACACCATTTCTAACCCTCTTTTAGTCTCAGCTCTAACCATTGACTTAAAAGACCTGGTTCATGGCATTTCCCAATGGAAAAGCTGCAGATAGGGAAGGGAGATTAAGAAAAAAGAACAATAAAAAAAAAATTATCATTATAAAGAATAGATGGGGAAAATTATAGAAAAGTCACAGGTAAGAAGAGAGGACATGAAAAGAAACCTCATACCAACAGTAATCATGCATATTTTGCATAAAGAAAAAAACTTATGAAATCAACCTGACACACAGTTACATAAAGAAGGTATATCTGGCAATATTGGGAGAAACACTTTCCTTATGCTCCAGTGACATGACAGGGCCAAGTTCAGATCTGTAGACATGTCAGCAGAGCCAGTACATCTATCCACTTTAGGTTAAAAAAAGGCAGTGAAGGACTTAAGAATAAGATATATATCTGATTGCAAGCTTTCTCACCTGCTCAAGCATATCTTTTGCTAAGTCTTCTTGTTCATCCATCTTCAAGATTGCTTGTCTGATTTCTTCGTTAGTCAGCTTCAGCCTTTCAACAGTATCAACATTGGACCATTAGCGCAAAGCTTAAGTGAGACTGACAATTTCAGGAAGTAGGATGACTGAAGAGCTGCACTTAAAAGTTACAAAAGAACCACAGAAAACTGTAGTATGAAGTTGTTATTCTAGATTATTTAGTAATATGAATGAATCAGTTCCAAAGCAGAGATCTTATAGATCATATATTTTATCCTCTTCAGATAATCAAACATTAGATGTCAAAAATTAGATGATTAAGAACAATCAGAGCCTCAAAGATCGAAAGTGCTTCCAACTTCCTCCATATCAGATACCTCCCTCATTAAGTTTTTTAGCTATAGTAAAACCCCTTGAATCCATGTGACTTGTGACTGTAATCCCACATAACACCTCGGCTTGTGAATATTAAAGCATCTCCCAGAGTAACAAGTAATGGGACTGTTCTTTCCCTTACAGATCTGAGGACAGAGTTTCTTGTAAGAAGACTGGTTGTGTTAGGTAAGTTTGCTCTGGCAGCAGTCACAGCTGAAGAAGTAATTAACAGCATCATGTTTCCATGCTTCACATCCAATATAGAACCGCTCTGAAAACAACAGCTTCTTAACATTATCTGAGGTATTAAAATTACATTCTCCTTCCCCCCTACCTACCCATCTGTGTGCAATGAATAGGGGTCATCAGTTACAACAAAACACAAAATCAATAAAAAAAGCTTCTAAAGGTCTCCACTTGAAATCCAGGGCAGACAGGAGTCATCAAATTTTGTGACTGAGAGATTCCTTGATAGATTACATGAAATGAACTTGGTGGTTCTCAGCACAGATGTCAATGAAGAAATGCACAACTGAAAAACTCTACCCCACCATCCCCAACCATGACACCCTCATCAGTCATTTCAGAAGAGTAGGGGAGGACCAAACGAACCATAAAGGAAAGGCTATCCAGAAGAAAACCTCCATTTTGTGACTAAAGCAGGAAAGCGTGAGAAGAAATAATTGAGGAGTGAAGTCTGCAGTCTCCATGGACCTTCTACAATCAATATAATTAATTGACAGCAGAAAGAGAAAATGCAAATGTGAATGAGAGATGGGCTGATGCATGAGGCAGAATGTTTTTGTCTTCAGCACTAAGAAATTCCATGTTGAAATTTCACATTGCTATTGCCATTTGGATAGAATCATATTTTTGGAACTAGGTAAAAGCAAAAGAGCAAGCTTTATTTTTACAGACAGGAAATATTACTAAATCTAAGAAACTTAAAACATTTTAATATTGCTCAATATAACCAACAGCTGGAAACTAAAATATGAATCAGCAGACATTCAAAAGCTTTTAAATATTACACCTCTGAACTAATTGTTCTTGCTCTGTTCCTAGCTGGTCATTGTGTCTGTTTTTGACAAAGAGGCCAAAGTGATACCAGCTAAGATAAAGCTACTGAAATTCCAGAAAAGCTACATAAATGGGCCACGCTTGTATGAGATATAAGGATTAGATGTTTTACAATGAAAAGGCTGGAAACTTTTTACTTTAGATGACCAGTTTGACTGAGGATCAAAACAACAAACCTCAGAACATTGGGTTCTGCACAAAACTCTACAATCTCAAAAAACCTGAAGGGTTTCTTTTGGCTTTAATAATAACGAATTGTAAAGTCCATGGCTGTATGACCGTGAACTGGTCAAACACTGTGACCACATGAGGGCTGAGAAGCATATTAGTGGGTGTGGGTCTGGCTCCTAGCAGACACATATACACATGCCCAGACAATTTGGTGCCTGCAGTTTTCAAAGTGCTACATTTTGTTGGTTATTTTTCCTTTAGAGAACACCTTTACATTTTCTGCAATCTGGAGTCTGCACATTAGATTTGTTTTGTAAAACAGACACAGTCTGTCAGAGGAGACGTAAGAAGTCAACCCGTGAACACCAGGGAGGAAGTAAATTTTGTTGGTACTTTAGGTGAGGATAAAAAATAATAAGAGCAAGTTTCATGGTTTTTTCCAGGCATATAACTTGAGTAATTACTAAACTGACCAGTGTGCATTTGGGGAGGCAGTAAACAGGACCAAACAGACAAGTTTGAGGTATGTCAACAGAAGGTGCAACACGTATTATTGCTGATTTGCTGTTCTGTCCAGTAGCTCAAGGACTTCGGATTCCAAGCTCCTCTGTTTGCTGCCATTCATCAGCACTAAATACACTTCAAAACATCGTCCATTCAAAAATAATTGAGAACCCCCGGGACAGATGGTTATACAAACACTGATTTCTTGGATGATTCTGTCCCCTGCCATCAGTAGAAAAACCTCTGGCAGAATGGTTTAGCTCACAGTAGAGAGGAGCAGAAAGCTTGCCAGGCCCCTGTCGAGAAGCATTTTAACTTAGTCACTTACAGGCCTGTAACAGGGTCACAATGCCTGCAGGTGTGCATCCTAGATTATTACCAATCCAATTACAAGTACAGAGGGATTTACAGCAAAACAATCTTACTGTTCCATAATGGGCTTGTTCATCTTCTGGGGCAGGATGCATTTCAAGAGCTGTGCTTCAACAGCACAAAACAGGGATCTTCCCACTTAGAAACTGGCTGAATAACTGGCCAAAGAATTGCTAATAAAATGATTCTCCTTGTATTTTCAAAACTGATGCCCAGCCATGCAGTAGATCTTAAAGATGGCCAGCAGTAATGTGAAACAGATGTGCTGCTTTTAAATAGAAACAGGTGAACTGATTAAAGAGGAACCTAAAGCAGATGCGTAAAATCTTTCCATTTAGAACAGAATAGAGGCATCCCTTGGAGCCTAAAACTCATATGGGACAGACAGCAAATTAAAGTGGAATTACGGCCCCAAAATTTACACTACAGAAATTGCATTTCAGTAAGAAAGTCTGCAATGACTTTCTTACAAGCTTTGCAGATCCAGGCACTTTTCCTCCAGCTGCTGGAGACAACTCAATTCAGAACAGCACACAATTCAAGCTGTATTTGCTCTGCACAACACCTCACCAACTCACAGATCCTGACATCAGAACTCAGGAAGTAAACGTGACCAGAAGAAAGTGCAGTGCCCCTTTCCTCAGCTGCAGCACATTCACTCATAGCACAGATATTGACTGGTTTTGTTCAACAGCAGCCTGATGCTGGTCAGATGAGGAAGGAAAAGGATCTTTACTGAGAGTACTCCCTCCTTCTTCCCTCACCCATACATCTGGTGGCAGCATATAGAAGTCCAACTGCTTGAGTCATCTTCAAGCAATGTTAAAGCTCAACAAGTACCAAATAACTTCTGATATGGTACTTAGTCTGCCTCCCTCTATCCCCTCTGGCTCCATAAATAATCTCTATTGACTCTGCAGAGTAATTCATCACTAATCTCCCCAGGACACCTCGGCTGATTTAACACCAGCTTCACTTGCAGACATCAAGTGGTTTATTGTTTCGTCCTCTTGGAGAAAGCTGGCAGCCTGACTCTGAACATGCCTGGGAGACATGTTGCAGTTTTACATCAACTTCCCTTACAGACATCCAGTGCTTGCTCATTTTTCCTCCTTAAATATACCCATTGATTTAACTCACAGTAACCTCCCCCGTTCATTCCTCTTTCTCATGGATCAAAGCAGAATACTTGTCGCTCATTAACCATCTCCCCCTCAGAAGAAAAATTGAGTTACTTCATGGGCTTGTTCCTTGGATCTTGCTTAGCTCTTAGGAAAGAAGCATGCTTGCCTACTACCAGAGAACCTGGAGTATTGTTGCAGCTACATTAAGCTCCCACGCCACAGGGATCACAATCCCACTCTTCCTTTTAAATTGGAGAAGGGGACTGACTATCATGTATCAAGACCATTTTCTACTTCAAGCCGTACTGAACCACAGTGCTTCCAAAAGATGCCAACAGTTGTAGATGTGACAGCAAGAGGCATTGATTGATACTCGGCTAGTTTGTGTAGCTCACACAAATGTTAGCTTTTACTGACTGCAGAACTTTCCATCTCCACAACCCATTTCACACAGGCTACTAGTTATTTCACTCCTGAACTTTGTGACTGGTACTTAAGACTACTTTAACTCCTGAGCTCTCCTAAGGCTCTGTACAACTGTCAATCTGGGGGCTGTTAAATATCTATGTTTTGGCAATACTCATTGTCACTCTCCCATAAAGGCAGGAAAAGATGTTTCCGTGTTCCAGAAGAAGCATTCAGGAGTCAGGCTGGACTAACTGTGCATTCACTAAGAAGACAGAAAGATGTAGCCAGTCTTTTCACATCCACTTAGCTGCCAACTCATCTTGCCGGTGAAGAACATACTGCCTTAACCTTTGAGGGACAACGGTTGGGACATTTTACCAGGTACATCTTACACGATTATAGCAACACATTGGAAAAAAAATCCACCAGTGCCTTTTCAGCACTTCACTGTGAAAGTATTCTGCTAAGTGCATAAAGAAACAGGCTTTTTTTTTTTCCCTTCAGCAAAAGCTCATGAATGACCAAGCTACTTTGCATCCAAATATGCTCCATTTTCTACCAGTAAGGGTGTGGGGATGGCTGTCTTTCTATGCCAAGCAGAGCGAAGCAGGGTCAAACTTGGGAATACTGAAATTACAATGACATATTGATGAGGCAGTGGTTCATCCTTTATCACAACCCTACATATCAGTTCCTAGTTGTGATCTAATGCAGGATGGTACTGACACGTTCAATTTAACCTTGGAGTTCATCATACTCAGAATAGCAGATAAAGCCATTTATTGTGGACCTTAGTTTAAAACCAGAAAATCTCTCCAGAAACCCAGGAGGCAGTGGTTATTGCATAGTGTTTTTCAAGACATCACACTGAGGAACTGAACTGCTAAGTCTAATGAGCTGTTTCTGTACTCCAAAATCATGTTGCTTGGAATCTACCTTTAAATAAGGATGAACACTGCATTGCCACATGGCAGAAAGGCACAGAGGGACTGGGTGCACAGCACTGGCAGTACACCGAGACTGACAATGGCCAAATAGCTTGTCCTCTTAATGTCTGAACTGGATGGTTTTAGAAGCACTGAGGAGGCACAGGTATGTGAGAGAAATACTTAGTCTTAGTATTCTGGTTGCAAACATTGCACAAATCCTTTTTCTTCTCCCTTATTTACAGGTGTTTGAATCAACAGTCATGAAAACCACATTTGGTAAAACTGCCTGCTAGTATCTATCTACTGACATACATTTAAAACTGGTTTTGTGTGGTCAGGTTCTGCCTTTTGCTACTACTGGTTTTATGACATTTTGCTAGCACTCCTGCTGTTTCCAGCCTCTTGAGAGGGTTACTGCTGACTAGCTCGGCCACAGGAATAACAAACACATCTCAGGAGAACACTGACATAATGATTTTGCTGGAATTCATGCACAATAACTTGCACAAAAGAGTTCTATAAGTATTCATTGAGCTTTCTCCTCAGCAATGTCTCTCACAGAACTGCACCTCTCCAGAGCATTTCACAGAGCATGACATTAAGCGATACATCTTAAGCATGTTCTGCAAGAACATTTAAAGATATGGTACAACGAAAACACTAGAACAGTGAAAATACTATCCTCTCCTTAAGTAATGGAGGCAGGGAGAAGCCATGCTGGTGAGAGAGGTCACAGAAATTTCCAGCTGCTAGGTGAAGGCAGGGATGTGGGATGGCTCTTCCAGACCACACAGGTCTGACAGTAAATCTCCAGCCTGGCAGAAACTGAAGACATCATGAAATCCATGAGGGATAGCAGATTTCCACTGTGACACAAATAGCTGTATGTTGGGAACACCATTAAGAAAGCCAGATTTGAAGCTGGTCTCACCTGCGCAGCTGGACTCACCACAGACAGATGCTTCCATGTCCTGGTTGAATGATGGCCTACTGGAAATACTGTGAGATAAACTGATCTTGTGCTTATTCAAACCTTTACAGTTGGCCTAGGGAACAGAGCTTCACTTTGGATCTGTCATACTCCATTAAACAAGGACAATTGCATCCTTCTACTGAAGGAAATCTGAAAGATTCTACTATCAGCTACTTGAAACACAGCTTTTTTTGAATGAAAATAGTGATTAGAACGAGGAGGAAGGCTTACAAATATGATAACTGTCAGCAAAAATCAACTAGCAATTCAATTTCCATCTCTTCTCAGTCTACCGTGCTCCAGTCTCTCTGTAAAAGAAAGCAAGGACATCTATTTCTCATTCTAGCTACACTTTGGCTTGTTGGACCATATGAAATATGAGCTCTGCCTGACCCCTTCTAACACAGTGTTAGTAAAACAAAAACATTTGAGTAGTGGAGGGAAAGAAAACCCAACCCATGCAGCTATTTTACTTTAAAGGACACGACAGTTTAGTGTAAACAAAGGGGGAATAAACTACAGGGATATATGCACAGTAAGAGTCAATTGGAAACAGCTGTTGGCAGATACTGTGGCAACCTGAAGGCTGGGGCTGCAGCTCAGGGTTGCACAAACTCTCTTTGTCACTGGTTTGAAATCCTCTCTCACTGCACATGTGTGCACACTCACATGCACATGTGTGTAAGGTATGCTGCAGCAGCAGCAAGGGGATGGCAGCACCCAGGGCTGATTTAGCTGGGAAGGTCTCACCTTCAGGGCTTAACGTAAAGGAGGAAGATGTGGAGTAATAAAAAAGAACTGCAAAGGGGTTGTAAAACCCTTTCAATTATTGTCTGCAGCCAAGCAGCCTGATTGCTCTCTTTAATAATAGAGCCATATAAGCACAAATAGCAGAAAAAGGCATAAACACAGAGGTGCCATTTTAGCTCCCAAAGATCTTTGCTTTCCTAGGTGCATTAAAAAGGGAAGTTTGGGAGGAATAGCAGCCCTGGGCCATGCTGTAATATATTTCTGATATCCTGGGTGTAACACTATCTGTCACAAACATTAAATGGTGTAAGACAGCGATAGCCATCATGACTGGTGTTTCCCATAGCACAGTGTAGTGAAGTTAACAGGGCACAATGTAAATTGGCAGGCTCCTCAGAGACAGCGAGCTCATTCTCCAAATCTCTAACATCCATGTTATTCCTGCTAACAGTAAGATCAGGATATTTCCTAGTGGAGAAATTGGCAGTCACAAACCACAACTTTTCACCTCTGTTTGGAGCCCAGACTAGCAGCTTGAAGTGGACTGGCTTCATGGCATACCTAGAATGAACACATGCTGTGTACCCTGAAGTGTAAGTTCATGCCACTTTACTGGAGCCAGTAGAAGGGAAGGCAAACCACAGAGACTGTCCTTTCTCACTATTTACAGAGGATTTCCCTGGCAAGAATGGGCCAGATTTGCATGGCAGAAGAGGTGAATGGTGAAAAATGTATACCACTTCTGTCCACACTGCTATTGTTTTGAAGACAGAAGATTTTAACAAATATCTAGTGTTGTACCAAGTCACGGACCACCTTCCTGGATCCTTTCAGCCTAGCCACCTGCACACATTATGTTACCACCTCTAGGAAACGTTCCATCTGCTCATATGAGTTAATCTGAACCTCACACACAATTTAGCAGGTCTGCCAAACATCATGAAAATCCTGTTGCCCCAGTGCCTCCCCATTTGTCTGCCCCAGCCTGCAGTTAGCTGCCAACACCAGCAAAGACATATGTTGGCAACTGATGCAGAGAGAGAAATGTAAGCCTTCCCTCATTGCTGGTTTGGATGGTGGGGGTCCTGCTGACATGCAGGCTAATGCCACCTAAGTAGCATAATGAGAGCCTCCATGGGTTTCACTAAGCAATGGAAAGAACTCACTCCAGTCCTGGTGGTCTGGCTGCAACTTTGCTTTTAACTGTTAGCTTGCTAGAGCAGACAAGCAACCACATCTGCATGAACCTGCATTTTCTACTATCAGTGACAGAGTTGTACTGCTCAGTACTGCCACAGCTTTCCCAGGTTATGTCTCCAGCCCTGCTGTCCCTCCTCTGGTAGGAAAGGCAGCTTCCTCAGGTGTATCACTGTCTGCACAAATTTGATATTTAGTGATAGACATCAAGCCCAGTACTCATGTTGGCAGAAAGACATGAAAAGCATATAGAGGGCCCTGATGTCACAGCATTTGAAGGCATTAGTCATCGCAGGAACATGCAAAGGCAACTCCTGGCTTCCAAAACCTAATTTACAAATACGAGACCTTATTCTTGAATATGTCTTCTTACATTTACCACTTTTCATACCAAATATCAAAAACTACAAAGATGAACATCACCCTCAGCTCTGCTGTATTCCAGGGAGATGCTCAGAGCAACATTTAGAAAGAAACATACACAACAGAGATAAATGACATGAGGGGACATACCACTTAAGAGTAAAGAACAAGCACTGCCAAAGTACTGCTTTCATTTACCTATGATTTCTGATACTTTTCTGGTGATGAATCTTCAGATACACCTTGATGCTTATCTGTTTAAAGCACAAAATGTGTGTGTGTATATGTTTATTAAGTGAGCTAATACTTCAGAAAGACACGTTTTTATGACACTGCATGAGAGGTTTCTCTGAAGCTCTGCAGGTATTAGAAAGCAGTTCTAGTTGGGAAAAGAAATATGTCAATTTGTTTAATTCCATCCCCTCTTGCCTCTACATTGACCATGGCATACCCTATGAGCTAAGGCTTAGCACACTTACTTGGAAAGGAGAATGACACAGTTCTGGGCTCTCCTGCCATCAATCACAGAAAGCTCTTTCACTTTTCGTGTGGAGAGGTAAAGGTCTTCAGTTGAACCCATCTCTTTCTGCATAAAATTCAAAAGGGAGGGAAAACAATCACTATTACGTTTCACTCAAGACTGATAAGGCTTAGCTGAGTGTAATGAACAAAACCCATCCCAGCCTGGGAAAATCCACCCACATGGTGAGAAAATGAGAGAAGGGCAGAAAACATGTAGGTAGATTCTGTTACTAGAGAAACAGAAGCCACTCATTAACACCTGTGAGATCACCTTTGATAACAAATACTGGACCTGATTCTGACCTATTGGACTCTACCAACAGTTACATTATTATGTTAACATACAAAACTGGCGTAACAAGAAAATTGGGCACATTACGGTAAAGCCCACTGCTGTCACAGGAAATCCTTCAGCAGATATCTCCTGCAGACGTTACACAGGATTCTTAAAGGCTGCAGCACAATCAGGAAAAATCCTGCCATCATCTCTTAAGGCTGACACTGGACCTGTCCAAACCATCTTATATGAGAGATACAACAGTGAGATGGCATTTATCTTACTAAATATATCTCACTAAATGGGCAACATCTACATCTGAACTAGCTTCTCCTTTTTAAATTAATACTTTTAATCATACAGAAACCACCCTTTTTCAAAGTTCTCTTTGGCATATCCCCATTGCCAAACTCATCACGTGGAGAAAAACAAAAAAAAAAAAGAAAACCCCATCCAAAATGTTTGTCACAGCACACAGAGAGAAACTATTTGCAAATCCAGTCTGATCATCCCAAAGTGTCTGTCTCCTTGTCCTGCCTACATATCAAAGCAACGGGATTTATTCTACTTCCAGAGATTGGCTTTCTGTAGTTAGTTTGAGTATCTTCTAACACCATTCCTTAAGGGGAAGTAGAGGTAATGATAAAAGGTGTCAATCCTGGATAATAGCACTCTAGTCGCTAACAGAAAAGTGGGAATTGGAAACAGGACAGTTTTTTATTTTCCCACCTACCTGCCAGTAAAAAATACCTTTCCATGATATCCATAGTGTCATGCCCGGAGATTTTGAGATCTACCAGTATAATCTAGCTTTGACTGCACCTATCAAATCAGCAACGTGACTTCTTTCTTAGGATGTAACAGCAAGCATGCTGAGTTAGATCAAAAGGTCTATCTACCCCAGTATATTGTCTGCAAGAGTGGTCAACAGCAGACACCCAGGGAAAGGTGTAAGATCATGACAAGCATGTAGTGGTGCTTCCCAGAATTCTCTTCCAGGACTCAAGTTTCTACAGCTCAAAGTTTACTTATATCAGCAAGCCTAATCCACTCCAAGAGATATTGACACCCAAGAGATTTGAGAGTTAAATGTTAATTGGAGATTCATATTGCTAGTTGCCATTTAATCAGCTACAACAAACCTGTGTTGTTCCTGGATATTCAAAGGATTCATACAACCACGTCCAAATGTTCTGCAGTGAGCCACCACCAGTACTAAGTGGCATTTACAAGCAGGTACAATGCACCAGCTGAAGAAATGAACATAATGGTTCTGCTGAATGTGCCCAAAGTGTCTAGCTTGACAGAAAAGCCAAGTACAAGGTCCTGCACCTGGACTGGGGAAATCCCAATCACAGCTACAGGCTGGACAAAGAATGGATTGAGAGCAGCCCTGAGGAGAAGGACTTGGGGATGTTGGTTGACAAAAAGCTCGACACAACCCAGCAGCGTGCACTTGAAGACCAGGAAGCCAACCATACGCTGGGCTGCATCAAAAGGAGCACAGCCAGCAGGTCAAGGGAGGTGATTCTCCCCCTCTACTCCACTCTCATGAGACCCCACCTCCAGTATGGTGGCCCGCGACACAAGAAGGACTTCGACCTACTCGAGCAAGTCCAGCAAAAGGCCACAAAGATGCTCAGAAGGCTGGAGCACCTCTGCTATGGAGACAGGTGAGAGTGCTGGGCTTGTTCAGACTGGAGAACAAAAGGCTCTGCGGAGACCTTACATCAGCCTTCCAGTGCCTAAAGGGGGTTTACAAGAAATATGAATACTTTTTACAAGGGCATGTAGTAACAGGACAAGGGGGAATGGCTTTAAGCTGAAAGAGGGTAGGTTTAAATTAGATATTAGGAAGAAATTTTTCACTATGAGGGTGGTGAGACACTGGAACAGATTGTCCAGAGAACTTGTGGCTGCCCCATCCTTGGCAGTGCTCAAGGCCAGGTTGGACAGGGCTTGGAGCAACCTGGTCTAGTGGAAGGTGTCCATGCCTGTGGTAGGGGGGTTGGAACTAGGTGAGCTTTAAGGTCCCTTCAAAAGTGTCTCCAAAAAAGGAAAAATTGGGTAGTGAGTAAGTTTATTATTTCTGAGAGAATAACTAACAATACCAAAAGTAGGGCACTCCCAGAATAATCTGACATGTAGAGATGTCCAAGTTCTTATGAATTTCTTCAGTTTGTGAGGAGGAAGACAGGGGAATGGGGAGCTAGGCAGCTGTTGAAGGCAAGACTTGTTGGTCTGTGCTTTTGGCTTAAAAGCTGCACTGTCCCTCCTCACTAGCTAATGTTTGCAAACTAGGACACCTGGTTAGTGTTAACCAGCACCCATCCCAAGGCAAAAACCAAATTGTTTCAAGGTTTGGCTGTTGCAGTGGTGTGGGGATTTAGACAGCTTCCCCTAAAGCAGTGTAGCAGGGATTGGTATAATAGTCTCCATGCCATTTCCAGCTCCCCAACCCACAAGGTTCAACGCAGATTAATAACTTGAACTATTCAGACATGGCCCATTCCTCGGTCATAAGGAGTGGGCTAGTCTCATCTAAAAATACATTCTCTTCAACTCATATTGAGGAGAGAGATATTTATAGATACTTGAAATTGTGTGTAAGCAAAAGCAGATGAAGAAGCCTCAGGTATTACCGGAGCCAGATTCCAAGCTTAGCTGAAGGAAAACAGATTGCACATGGACTATCTGCATTTTCTTAGACACAGAAAAAGAGGAGCAAGAGGGCAGTAGTGACTAGCTTAAGTGAGATAGGCCAAGCATACAAAGTGAGAATAGTTGGAGCTCTTGTCAACCTGACAGACAAGATCTAAATTTTTAATCACATCGTTCTTTACCAACTTTCCACCTGGGATAGTATTATGTTACGTGCCTCAAAGGGCATTTCAGATTTGAGATTTTAATTGCAAAATAAAAAAATCAACTAAAATTTCAGTGCTGGAATGACTAGACATGTGGAATGTGTTCATTGTCTTGCTGCCCTGTTTCAAATACAGTTCGATTTTAGTCAGCTGCAGAACTTGCAGTCTGCTACAATGGCAGCACCTTAGGTTCCAGTAATTATCAATACTTTAGGGAACTATTTCTACCCTATTGACTTGTTTCATGGTGAGTGCTGCCATGATGAAAGCAGACAAAAAGTAAAGTAGTAAGATAAAAAATAAAGTAAATATCCCAGAGCCAGGTATTAGCCACACCTCATGACTAGGTTTTCCAAATACAGCTCCCTGAGCACTCAGGGTGAGGACTACTTTCTTCTGAAGCCACCAGAGACAGTTGTGATGACATCTGAACAACTCTCTTCTGAAATCATTGCTCTTCTTAAAAGTGTTGCCAAGAGTTTTGCATAGAGGTAGGCAGCTTGAAGAGGTGTGGGCAGGCTGATATTTCTACCTCATCTAAAATAACATTTCAGCCTTTTGCTGAACTTTCTGAAGGTTTCAGCAGTCTGAAATGAAGTAGGCTTTCTTGCAGTCTAACCCTTCTGCTCCTCAGCTGGCACAAATCCTTCTGCCCAACCAAAGTCCAGTTTTACAGAAAGATTGTCTTTATCAGAAAGTCTGTGGCTAGTGAATACATCTGGAGACTTCAATACCGTACAAAGCATATGGATCACAGATGACAACAGTGGGAGTAAAGGGTCCCTGAGACCCCTTTTTGTTCTCCACTAGAGACTATTATTTTGGTTAAGAAAGAGTTCAAATTCACATTCTACTTTGTCCCTGCTTTTTTTCCTCTGGATCACCAAAAAGGGGACTACAGACACCAGCAAAAACCATAGTGAGGTTATAGTGAAAGAACAGGAACTACTTCCTATATCAGAGCTACCACAACTAAAGGAATTCTTTGTACCACCTTCCCCGCCCAGAAAGGAGAGATGCAAGAGCATATGAAAGAGTAGCATGAGATGAGTGATGACCCCATAATGGCATGGTGCAGGACTTCCCCTTCCCACACCCTGCAAGAAGATCAGGAGGCAGAAAATGATACTCACCTGCTTACAGGAGGAGGGGTTAGTTAGCAGGTCCTATGCAGGCAGCAGCCACAAATAATGAAGAAGGAAACATGCCAAAATTAGTCACATAGAAAGATACCAAGTTTAACAAGGCAGCTGAATTTAAACACACAGTTTTCTAAGAGAATAAAATGCTTAGCAAGTAATATTGGCCCAGGTGGTTCAAAGGTATTTCAGCATTTCTTTGCATATTTTATATCAGCAGATGCAGGGGAACTACGAATTCAAGGTCTTTTCTGAAAAGAATAAATTCAGTCTCCAAATATTAATCTCTTAGGTCTTTAAATATTTACTAGCATAATGCTTAAATACCTTTACAAATCTATTCTGGAGCCTTACTGAAAGAACTGCTAAGGTTAAAACTTGAGGGTCAGTTCTCCTCTCCCGATGCACAGGCACAGTTTGCCACTGTTAGTAACAACTTGTTTCAATGGCACATTATACCCTTTAATAACTTACATCCAAGTATTTTGAAAATACTCTGTAACCACCAGAACAGCCTTACAGCACTACTGGGTGACAGACACCAACTATTTCATAACATGTTCCATACTCCAGGAAAACAGCAGATATACGGAATCAAAAGGTCAGTATTACACAGCAAGATTGGAGCAAGCTCAAAAGACAAATATGAGAATTCCTGGTCCAGCTTTCTGTACGCTGGACAATTTTACTTTCCCTCATAACCACTAAAAACAATACACTGGAGAGGAGAAGAGACCCTTTGTCATTAACAAAATGAAGAAGAACGAAAAGCAGTTTAATGTAAATGAAACTGGAAAAAAATATGAAGATCATGTTATTAGCAGCAAAGAAAGAAATGTCTTTATCTGTACTCATTCAACATTTAAAATGCAAAAGATCAGGGCTTTGCACTGACATTTTTCTTTACATTTAGATGAAGTTTAAAAGTCACAAACCCAGGGAGAATACATACTTGGCCAGAGTGGGATATTTCCAAAAATAAAAAAAGAAGTTCTGATTAGCTTTGGATTCAAAAGCAATTTTGGTGGCCTGGCCTTTAAAAAATAAAAATAAAGAAAATTGATAAGGGCTTGTTGATTGGAATCCTCTTCACATGGAGCAAGTATGAATGAAAAAGAAATTATCATGTAAAGTAATGATAGTGGCATACTGGGGGGGAGGGGAGACACACACATGACAAAACCCACCAAAAAACCCAAACCATCAAAATACTTAGCAAAAGCTGGAAGAGCAGCAATATACCTAACTACACAAAAATATGAGTAGCTTACATAAGTGATACTCTAGCGTTTGGAGCCACCATCATAAAATGTGTTTATTGAGGATGGAAGAGAACTGTTCTGAGACCCTTGGAGGTCACCCTGAAATGGTGGCTCCATTCCAGTAGGTAGGAGTAAGGGTCAGGTTAGTTTATGGTTGAATAGGCCAGGTTGCTTTTCAGTGATCGGTAACACTGCCATAAATATTATGATTCCAGCTAAGAGTCGGCAGACCAGGACAGCTTTGGCTTTGGATTTTGGGGCCCAAAGGAAGCAAGGCTTCACAAGGTCATTTCTAGTGAGGAAGCTGCATTGTTTGCACCTGAAACATTGGAATAGTATCTTGATGCTGCAGTGGCTACTCGTGCACAGATGACAGTCTGGCTACCTGAAAGACAACTTGCAGCTCACCACCATAGCTAAGCTAAGCTGTTGGCACAGGGTCTAAATCCATCCTTGTAATAGCACTGAAGTTTCAAGTGCCTTTCTTCCCCTCTGAGAACTAAGTTCTTGTTTCAGAAAGAAAGAGGGACCCACTGATATAGCAGCAGCTATTTGTAGGAGCAGAATGAGAAATGAAATCTCTCATACAACAGGCAACATCATATTCTTCACAGTTCAAGTCAGGATGCTTATCTATGTGGCTGTGAGCTAGTAAATCAAAAGAGTTATTATGTTTATTTGACTAAATAGAAAAATAAGAGAGACAAGACGACAGATGAAAAGTCCAACGACAAGATGTTTGTTAATTTTAAGGTACTGTATAAGTTAACAAAGTAGGTATCACTGCAATGCTTAATCATAAAAGCTGCTTATAGCAATCATGTCCGTGTCTTTTCCTAAAACTTCAGAGCAATGACCCAGTTCTGCAGAGTACAAAAGATTGAATTTCTCCAAACATATTCCAAAAGCAAAGGAAAGCTGGGGGAGTTCAGAGAGTGAAAGTACAATCCCTCTCCTGCTATATCACATTCAACGGAGATAGACAGATTGAAGGTGACTTGTTTTCCAAGAAAAAGGGGAAGGGAAAAAAGACATTGTAATAAATGGCTGCTTTTAAGTATGCTGTTTGTGTTATAATCTGTAATTCAGCCAGTTTCTGTCACTTAGCCAGCTGGGTCAGTTGGCTGTTTAAATAAAAATAGACAAAGCCAAAGACAGCTAATTCGGTCACCTTGCTCAGTATTCGGGCAACTACAGACTTTCACTCTGGATGAATGGGAGAAATAGAAAGATCAGGCATGAATGTAAAACATGAATGTAAAGCTCAGGAGCTTTTGGAAGCCAATCGCTGCTGAGATCAAATAGAGCATTATCCGTTGGGAGCTGTTGTCTCTGAGAGCTGCCCATTAGCATGAAGTATGTTGATAACAGGTTATACTCTGCCCTATATGTCCTCCTCAGTTCTTTTGTGATTTTTTCTGAACACTAGCAGAGCAGCAAGTGATGCAGCCTGACTGCAGGTGGACAAGGACCCAGATCCTTCCTCCTCTAGAAATTCAAGGAAAACAAGCTGTGGATGAGTTCACCCTTACCTGGTGTCTCTGATATGCAGAGAACATCTTTTCAAAATCTTCTAGATCCAGCACCTTGAATGCTTTTAAATCATCAATCTCATTCCAGATTGTGCCATGGATCCTCTCCTGAAAGAAAAGGTCATATTTTAATGAGACAGCAAAAGCTTCTAGCTAAGAACATCCAATCCCATTTGGACAGCTCATTCTCTCCTGCTCACTGGCCATATTCCTACGTACTACTGCTGTCATGTTAGAGGACACATTTTGTTTCAAAAGTCAAAGAAGAAAAAATTAGTGGTGTCTTTTTTTTTTTTTTAAAACATACTCAGCATTTTGTACTTTTTATCACAGCAAGCCTCTGATGAAAGGGCACATTCCAAGACCAGCAGACCACATCTCATGCAGTATCCATGATCCCACAGTACATTCCCTTTCAAGAGAGTCCATCTGTCTGTGACAATCATTGTGTTCATGCTGAAAGAAGTGTTATCACTTCTTAGTGATAACACTTAGCTTAGGAAGGGCATTGATGCATGACAAACCCCAGACACATCTTCCTTTCTGCAGATTTTGCCAGGTTCTGTTGTAAAGCCCAAAGCGTGTGTGGTTTCCATCCTGCCTGCCTGTGAAAGTAGTTTAAGGTTTTATTTTATTCTACTTTTAAGGCCCTGAGACTTTGAAGTCTAATTATTTCCTATTACATGATCTCCCCTGTCTACATGAGTTCTTTGTTGACTCAGATAGCCACAAACGATACCCAGATCTCTGAAAGCGCATCATCCGCACTAACTGGAAATGTCCACAGCTCAGGTGATATATCATCCTGAATGCCAGAGAATTCTAGCATGGAGGGAGACAGACACTCCTTCAACTTTGCTGTTCACCAGCTCTGGACCAAATAAGCTCTTGCGATACTCAAACCAGCTAATCAGCAGTCATCCTAAACTAGCAGAAGGCCTTGGGATGTCCTTGCTGGCAAAGAAGACTCAAAGATTGAACTACCTTCTTCTTTCTACTGACTGTTAAGGTGCATGTTGTGGGGACAAGCTTTGGGCAATTACTGATTCAGAAAAGGAAAAGTTGCTCTTCATACCTGACAACATTGTCTTTCAGTTCATGTAGTTAATGAAGTGTACATTTATTGTACTTTATTAACTGGAAAAATAAGGAAGGTATTGATCAGAAGAAAAACGAAATGGACAGAAGGGACTGTAAAAAGACCTAAGCAAACCCCAGGAGACGAAGAGCCTGAAAAACACCAATGCAGACAAAGCCAGGAATAGCAATAGCAATGAAATCCTCACACAGGCTCCAGCTCTGAAGTACCTGACTTGTACCTACGCAGCAAAGTGTGTTAACACTTCATTATCAGAACTAATTAGGAACAGGCTTTACTTCCCATTCACAGTCATCAAAGGAATGAGGGAAATGTGCTAAGCCACAAAGCTCAAGGAGCAAGGAAAAAAACTGATGGGAAGACGAAATGAAGGGGAAATAGAAGTGTGAAGTGTTCTGGAGGAAACTCCTGGCAGCGCAGACACTGCGGCGGAAAACCAACACCCTCTCTCCAGAGGCAGCCTGTGAGTGCCTGAGGGGAAGGACGGGTGTCTGCAGTGCTGCAGTGCCATTTGCACTGAGAGCATACACTAGATGGGAGCAGCACCCATCCTTGAACAGGCTCACCAGTATTGTTGCATCGTTCCTTGCAGTAAGTGTGTTTTTTCTTTCCACAGCAGGAAAAAAATCATGACCCTGTAACTGTAACATGATGAGCAAGCTCGGGAGGCTCATGTCAGCCAAGGGAATAGGAGACAAAGTTAATTTTTGCTTTATCCTAATGCTGGGCTCTACTGCCAGTCATAGCCAGAAACATCCAGGCAGAGTGTTCATTCACATTCAATTTCCAGGCTGGCTTTATAAAACTTGAATTGTAAATCCTGAGGGATGTATATGAACAGCAAAGCAGTTCTCTGAGTGGCTCACTGTTTCACATTGTCCCATCAAACACTGAAATGGAAGAATATTCCTTGACAGGAGCCAGTGGACATGACTGCAGGAGCAGTCCTTAAAGTCATCATCAGGCTAGAGCCCTGAATATGCCAAAAAACTGTTTGGCAGAAGGCTGGATGTGACTCAGGAGACAGCTACTCACAAGAGTCTTGCCCATCTACCTGTCCAGCTATAAATCCCTCATGGGAGAAAAGTTTCCCCACAAATGGCAAAACCAGTGAAAACGTGCTATAGAATGGGTTAGTCTGAATGAATTGCAGAGGTGCCAGAACAGGCAGTTTTGAGACTTACAATGGGATTGCAGAAAGTAGTTCTCATCCATATTTTACCAGAAAAAGAACCCAAGTGAAAATTATTCTCAATTCAGATTCATTTTATGACCCAGGTTGAATCTGGTCCTGTACAGAGTGGTTTGTATGCTACTTGTTGAGAAAGACTAGTTCCAAAGCAGCACCCATTGCAGTGGTGTGCTCAAACAGAACTTTGACCCAAGCAATCCAATTTTAGTGCTTAAAATCCAAACAGGCTAATCCAGACAAAGAACAAATAAGGCAGGCAGAGGTATAAACAACCTTTGTTACACAAAACACTTGCAATGGATCTGTCCTTTCTATTTCTACCCTAAGCTCTGCCCTTTAAAACTTTCATGTTGCTGCCAGATAATTTCCTACACTGAGCTCTTGCTACTCCGTTATGGATTAACTGGCTGATAGTTCCTTGTCATCAGCCAGAGAGACTGAGCGTTTTAAGAGAAACAGACTTGCATAATGTGGTTGCTATGATAAATGATTCCCTCAGCACCACAAAAAATATTTATGGTCCCTAAATAACAATTTAAAAATAAAGTAAATCATTTATTTCTTCTTTACTTTTTTCTCTCTCCTAATGAAAAAAAAAGAAAAAAGTTATTTATTTATTCATTCTACAAGTGTTCCAAGATATGCAGTTCCTCTGCTTTGTAAAGTCTTGGCCCACTTTGGGAAGCAAATCCTATGAACTACATTTCCCAGTGTCCTGTAGCAAAACGGTAGTACATACCAGGTAAGGAAATATCGTCTTATTATCAGATCAAGTATTGACAAGGCATTTGCTCAATCAGGCTGAGCTGATAACTGAGGTTTTGGTATGTTGCATTTAATAATTTGCTCACTGTAGCTGCTGCAGTTTTGTCATTCCACCTTTGTGCAAGGACAATTTGCTGAGAGACCTACCTGGATTAGAGAATGACAGTGTTTCATGGAGCTACAAATCACATCAAGCTGTCCTCTGCTATATCTAACAGATGATTTTATTCATCCGGAAAGATATACAGTGATACTCTGCAAGCCACTAAAGTTCATCATGCTTCAATAACCTCACAGCATGAGTGAAAACTTACTGTACTTTGGGAAAGCCTATTGTTTGTCCTGGAGACCCAGAGAAACCACAGAAACTATGAGTGTCCTGTGAATACTGGAGCAGGCAATCCTCCTTATTAGTAGGTTGTATTTCTAAAATATTAACCATTAAAACCTGAAGCAGCTTAAAATTTTAATTAATAATTCCAGTATGAATCTGAAAAAGGGATACAAACAAAAAGCACTTTTCAAATTTCTCTCTTGTTATCAGATCCTTTCTTCAGTGTAAGAAAAATCCACTTGGAGCAAAAATTGTATTTCTGGCATGTTTGTTAATTGAGACAGCTGTTTCATCTCACTGTAGGACGAGGCATCACAAAAGATGTTATGAGTAGCTTCACACTGAGATTTTGTAGAAACTTTTCCATTCATTTTGAATCTCTGGCAGCAGATCTTCATCATTGTTTGCCATGATCCTCAGGCTACTTTTAAGAAGAAAGTTCCAGAAATCAGAACCATCAATAACATTACAGAAACATGGTGGGTTTTTTTCTTTTTTAAAGTAGTTTCAAAATGAACATTTTCTGTTTACGTGATTGTTGGAGGTTTTTTTGTTCTGGTGATGTTTTGTTGTGTGTTTTCTGTTTATTTGTTTTGGTTTGGTTTTCAATCCTGTGTAGTATGCAGAACAAGTACCTTTCTTGTGAAACAACTTCAGCCAGCTCTATTTAGGGCTGGCTAAAGAAAGCCCCTTTCAGACCACTGGCTGGTTAACCAGCCATGAGATAACAAGCAGCGCAGTTGAAGATTGACTTGATTTACTCCGATAGCTTCAAATCAACATGTTTATATTTATTAAAGAAATAATTATTACTCTATACTTCCAGTGTGCTTGAAACCAGTCCATCATTTGGATTAGCTGTAAGTATCTGGTCCCTATTTGACCTTGGGTGTTGTGTAAAATTCAGAGTGAGAGAGCAAACTCCACTTGCTCTCCAGAAACAAAGAAAGGAATCTTGCCAGGATATTACAGTGGCTACACTGCAATATCTTTTTTCTTAGAACACAGAGATCCTTGGCACCAGCACTGCTCTAGTGCTGTATGAATGGAATTCACAGATGATGCTACGGCACTGTATGAATGGAGCTGTGATGTGGAAGGGCTTCATCAGAACTCATCCGTGCATCTAAATGGCTTTCCCACTGATTGTCAGTTCACATCAAAGCTAGTACAAAATCTTTAATTCTCAAAGGAAATTAGCAGATTGTTGGAGTTTCCTTGTTAGAAGCATGAATACTTTCCAGTCAAACCTTTTTTCATGGTGCCCATGGGAACTGTGGACAATCTGTAACTCTCAGTTGCCAAGAGTTTGAATATATTTGGTCGTTCCCCTAATACCCAACAGCTCAGTCCTTTCCCTCCAAACACAGTGTTAGCATTGGGGAAAAAAGGTGTCATATGAATTGCCCTGGAGAACAGCCTTGATTCCGTTATTGAGAAAGTGTATTGCAGACAAATCTCTCTTGGCCAGCTCTGTTCATCACACTCAGCCTCTGTTGGTTTTCTCTCACTCCCTTGAGTTAGGCTGTATGGACAGAAAGGGGTTTGCTCCCATACGGGCTGTCTCAGTCCTGGCATCATCTTTACTTACTGCAAAAAACATTAGAAGAGAGACTCCTAGCCAGTGTGCTTGTTGTGAGTATGGCTACTTTGACAGTTCAGGAGAACACCATGGAAGTGACGTAAAAGTAATGAAAGGCAAGATGAGGCCATTGGACCTACCCATGACGTTGCATTCAGAGGATTCATAGCCATGTGAACAGAAAGCGCCTAGTATTGAAGCAGGAATCTAGGATAACCGATGAAGATGGCCTAAACATATCACCTCCTACAGCAGCCAGTGGAATTAAATAACTCTATAACAAAGTGCAACCCAAATAACAAGGCAAGCCATTTGTGTCTGCATCACAACCTCTGCAGTTTTGCAGAGACCTTACCAAGTCAAAACACTAACAATGTCAGACACTCCAAAATGAAGCCCTCACCCTCTTATGCCCCCTTTTCCACCTATTCTGCCTTCCTCAAAACAGCATCTTTTACCCACCTCACCTCCCAGGTCTTCAATTTTATTAGCACAGCTGCCTTCACTCCTAACCAGAGGGCAGGATAAGCCCACAGTTACTGTACACTAAACAGAAACACCTGTGACTCTCTCTTTTTCATATACATTCATATACATACATATATTAGTTATTATTTCTTTTCTTCAGAGCACTAAGTCCCATGTTCTGCAAAGGAAAATAAATCCCCATCCTTACATTCTCTCCCACACCCCCCACGTGGCCTTGACAGACAAGCACAGACGGTGCAGCAAATATTTCACTTCACTTTATTTTAAAGAAAAAGAGAGAGGGGGAGAGAGAATTCTTGTGGCATTCCAAAGGTCCCTGGACACCCATTCCAAATGCTGGAGTTGGGCCCTGGGTGAGTTTCAGTCTAAAAGAGAACCTGGGTTTCTAGGCAGCCATCCAAACTCAACACAGACACTTTTTTCCTTTCTAAATCAGTTAAAAAAAATAATAATTAAGACCTAAAGACAAGGCGAGGTAGGGCAGAGAAGAGAGAGGGAGGGAAGGAAGAGAAAGAAATGGAGGGGAAGGAGAGAACCAAGGTAGCAGAAAAAGAGTGCAACAGGAAGAATCCAAGTCCTCCATTTTTATTGCCTGTTTGGAGTTTTATCATCAGGAGAAAGAGTTGTAACCATGCAAGAAGAGCAGCTTTACTTGTGGCCATCAAAAAATGGTGAAGAGAATCAGGCTACCTTTCTCTCCTTGGTGACAGCTCCCACAAGGGTAGAGGAGGCTGTTTCTGACCATGTTTTGACCACACTGGCTCTTGTCCATCCTTTTCCCTGACACACAAGTGAAGGCAGATCTGGCACACCAGTCCTGGAGATGTCCAGCTCTGGCTTACATATTCAGTTCCATGACAATTTTGCCTAACTGATAGCATGCCCAGATCTACTGGAGCTCAACCTAACCAGAACCTTGGTCATCACAGGGGTTGTACTGCAGTGCTAGAGACGTGGGGAGACGCCCTCCAGACAGCTACTGTCTCCGACTGACCTCAGCCCACAGAAAGTCACAATGTCACTTGCTTCTGTCACCTTGCACTTCATGGCATTAATCAACACCGAGTTATACTTAGGAAATTAATTGCTGAGAGTACTGTAATGTCTTACCTCACTCAACTTAGCCCAGTTGAATGATTTCAGTGGGTGCGAAGGCTGCGGGATAGATTTCTTCTTCAGGCTGGTGCCACTGCTGCTGAAAGTGGTTGTTGAAGGGGGTGGAATCCCCATGCTGAAGAAAGGTGGTGCTCCTGGTGGAGGAGGAGGTCCTCCTGGAGGTGGTGGTGGAGCAGGAGGTGGGGGACAGCTGGAGAAAGGCAGAGGAGGTGGCAGTGGTGGCAGATTCTCAGACATGTGAGAAGAGGACAAAGCTAATGGGCCACCTGGAGGGGAGGGTGGGGGGGGTGGGAAGGAAATGCTGCCCCCTTGCTGAAAAACAAAAAACACACAGAAAAAGAAAGCGAACCATTTAAAAGGCACAGTAACTCCATGTTGCCAGCTGATGTGATTTTATTATGCGTCTCAAAATATTTGATGTTTTCTTTAAAGCCTCCTGCACTCAAAGCCAGGCAATAAAGGGAGGAATCTCAGCTTTCATTTAAGAGAAAGTTTCAAGCCCTTGAAGTTATGGAGAAGAGCTTGAAAAAGGGAACCATAAATGGCTCAGAAAAACAGAAAGCTAGTAAAAGAAGCCAAAAAGTATTATTTTCTCCTTATGTATGAATAAAAAGAAAAGTTCAATCTTATGAACTTTTGAACTCCTGGGTTTTAAACCTTAGGGTTTGAAATACAGAATACCTGTCATTAGGCCCCACTGATACAAAGTGGGAGAGAGGAAGAGGGAAAGAATCTGCTTTCTTCAGTGTCTAAACTTCTCAGGGCCAGGTCCTGGCAAGTTGAGGCTCAGGCACACTGCCAGAATAAAAGGAGCACCAAGCAGGAGGAGGCAGCTGGAAATGTCGCTTCTGCAGAGCTCCAAGGTAGTAGAGACACTCTCGAAACATGAAAATCTTTACTGAATTCTTCCCTAAATTTACTTTTGTATCTGGGAGGTTTCACTCCATTGCACTGACATAAAGGTCAGAGACAAACCACTCAACAGTAAAAATTATGGCTGAAGGAGGACATGTGTGCCTCAGCAGCTTCTGCTAGGAAGGTGGCTGAGGAGAATGAATGGAGCAGCCCATGCATTACCCATTCTATACCACCAGCTCAGGGATTTCAGTCCCAGGTAAAACCTGAGCAGGTTCTAAGTACTCATCTTTGGAGCTGGCTAGGCAGACTCCCTCTGTACTGATCACAGAAAGAGTTTAACTCATAATGTACTTTTGTTTGTCATTCACTAGTCAGCAGGCTTTAAACAAGGATGGGAATAGTCCTAGCCTCATACCGAGAACTCATTAAGTTGAGCCACCAGGTCATTCATCTGGTCCCGAGTCTGGCGCAGCTCCAGTGATTCCTTTTGCAGCTTGTCCTTCATTTTGTTCAGTGTCTTCATCATTTCATCTTTCTCCTGTGTCTTTGTCTCACATTCCCGCTCCTTCTTTTCCAGCCTGCTCATCAGCTCGGCATGATCTAGGGGAAACAGGCAAATGGGGATGATGAAGTAGAGCACATGAACAGTCCCCAGTGAGACGCAGGCTACGCTGACATAAAGCTGACAAATCTGTCAGTTCAACTGAGGATGTATAATGAGAGTAAGAAAAAGAAAACAGATTCTGACTGTCTTGACAGTGATCTTCACTGATCAAGACAGAAATGCCCAAGTTTCATCTGGACTGTAAAATCACTTTATGTGAAACACATAAACTGATCACCATGAGACAAATTCTCCTGGAGTGAACAAAGCAGGGTTTATCCAAAACAGGAAAAGTTGTGCCCAGCTCTGCAGCTCTGTGATGGAATTGACATCAGTCTTCCCTTCTCTTTTGCTTCCTCAAGCACAGGGGACGCACTCACCTTTCCGAAACTTCTCTGCCTGGTCCCTCCACTGCTTGACTTCATTTTCGTTCACCAGCCTGAAAGATGACATCAGATCATTTAATCTTGTTCTGAGCTACCCAGGCTAAAAAGCAAGTGGCCACTATGTAGTGATGAGCGAAAGGCAATCTGGTGAATTTTTATGTTTATACAGGATCATACCAGTGGTCATTCTGGTTCCAGATCCTGATCTTTACTGTAGCCAACAGCTAATATGAATGTGATGGCTTGTTGCTCCAAGTGCTGAAAAGGGATAAAGGAATGCCTGGAGAAAAAATGCTGATACACTCCTGTGTTCAGGTAAGGCCCTCCAAGTGCCAAGTCTACTTATTCGGAAAGAGAGAAGTCATCACTAAAATAATCATAGCTGTTGTGGGTTACAAATTACCCCACCCTTAATAAGAGACAAAATTGTCATTTTTTTCCTACTTTCTGTGGCTCTATTTTTCCTTTCTTATAAGGATGGAGGATGTTTATCTATTGGGTAATATATCAGTAATGAGGCAATATCTTGAGATATGAGCATTTCACATTACTATTTCCTATTACTGACAGAAAATATGCAGGGCATGCTGGAGATTAGATAATCGGAATGAGGAGTAGCTATGAAAGTAGAAAGAGAAGATCAGGCACAAAGTCTACAGTGAAATCTGATATCCAGACAGACGGAAAGAGATCAACACCAGTGTATTTTTCCATGACAAGAAATCAGTTTTGATTTTGGCTCATACCTGTAACAGGAGGGACTGTAAGAATTTTAGTACAGGAGAATTTGGTTTCATATGTGGCTTATGTTCTATAAAATACTCTTTTCAGTGGATAATTCAGAAGGGTAATGGGCCATGAATTACCTGCAGAGGCATACGGATGGAATGAAGAGTCCAAAAGTTTGGCTAAAAAAGGACTGAGAAGAGGGAAGTTGAGATGAGAGCCAGCACATGTAGCTAGACCCTATGGGAAAAAATAATGGTAGTGCCCTCAGCCAAGTCTGTGGGTGAGAACACGCAGACATTTTATGAAGAGGTAAGAGGTTTTGTATGCTAGGTGGAGGCTGCTTTCCACTATATGAAATCTTTCTAAACTATGTGCTCATTAGCGAGGAATGAGATCGAAACAGAGATGACCACTTACTTTCCTTTTTTTTTTTTTGGTGAATATCAATGAAAGCTTTCATCAACATTCTGAATAGAAAAAGGCACATGAGGAAGCCTTGTTATAAAATCATGTGTATTTTTTCTGCTCTTCTAACCAGCTTAGTATTTAATAAAAATTAGAAGCCACTAGAAAATACTGTCTAGTTAAGATGTCATTCAAAGGCAACTAGAATACTAACAAGAAACGAAGAGCTGTAAGCTAAAATAAGTTCCTCACATATTATATTTTATTTCCTAAGCACCTGCATATTTATCATATACTTATACCTGCAAACAGAAATAAACAATAATAATGCAGCTTACATTTTAATGATATTTTTGACATTGAAGTTTTCCAATGGAGCTATGTCTGGATCATCTCCTCGCTCATCCTGAAGAACAATTTGTTGGAGTATTCTGTCCAACAGCTGCCACTGCTGGAAGTTTCCTCCATTCCTCTTATCTGTATGGAAAGAGAACAACCCATGAGAACTTCCATTTCTAAGTGCACACACCTGCCAACAGACTGGCTTTCCTTCCTTTCCACTTTCCATCTCAATCCCGCACATAAGTGTTCAAACACAAAGCCTAACCCCAAGCTGTTGCTAGCAGATTATTTACAAACCCCTGGCACACTGGCACAGCATGCAGGCATGGGCAACTCTGCACGTGATTTGCACATTCAGGCTGTGCAACCGTTTTGACAGATTAACTCAAACTTACACTTTAAACACCTACAGAAGTGACTCCCTTGCGATAGCTGTTACTCAGTATTTTCTGGGGCTTGACGTTGGTTTTTTTTTTGGTACCAAGGTAACAGTGGGGCTGGGCACTGTAAAAACAATCAGATGTTCTATCTGCATGCTTGGTTATCTGAAGATCACTGAAACTTAACTGGCATGAGAAATTCATACAAACATGACCAAAAAGTGTGGAGAGAAAGCAGAATTGAACCAAAGGGACTGTTCCCATGGACATCAAACAGAAGAGCCAGAGAAACATAAAGTTCATCTAAGCTCCCTGAGTTACACAACCTAGACCTTTAAATTCTTTAAAACTGCTCCAGTCCAATCCTGGCCTGGCCTAGCAGGATCTAGCCCTTCTGCCACCGAAAATTCAGGTCAATGCCTAAAGCTCAAGTACTGTTTTAAAAAATAACATCAAGAAGACCACTGGGACAAACAAGTGCTTCAATTTGTACATGGCAGTACTTGAATGTGATGAGTGCCTGAAAACATACCACATTCATTTCTGAAAAAACACAACACAGTACATCTCCCTTATGTTCCTTTCTCAGTTTGACTGTTCAAGGACAGCTGTAATAAAGATCAGCACCTGATACCTAACAGGACCAAGACAGGCAGTTCTTTAGTGATCTTGGTATGCCTTTGCTAAGATGCTACACTCTACAAGCATAACCGAATTATATTATTACAGTTAACAAGAAGATTCCTATCACTTCTTTCGAAAACAAATGCCAATATTATTTTTCAGTTTGAGTTCAGGAACGCTCTGCGATGCACTGCCATGAAACAGCAGCCTGAAGACTACTGTGGAATTTCCCAGTGACAGAACAGCTTTCAGTACTGCATTGTTTCACCAGAGAAATTCCTCACTGCATTTTGTTAATATTCAGAATGGTATCTATTTCTGGGAATTCCCTGCTCCACAGCACAAGGGCTCTTTCTTTTTTAAAACTTCTAATTTAAAATCATTACAAGCTCTGTCAGTGACTAACTGGAATGTCTCAGTTACTTAATTTTATCTGCAAATGCAAGGAGGTCAAGCTGCTGCTTTAAGTACTGCTACAAAAATCTGCCGGATGGAGTCAGTGTAAGTAAAATACCATGGCCTGGAGCTACTGCCAAGTTCTGAGTGAAAGACAAGGGTGGTGTGTGTTCTGGTATCTCTGACCCTGTACCTACACCAAAACATCACCTAGTTCTTCAGTATCCCATGCTCTGGAAAACTGTGATGTACTCACATGGCATCTGCAAGCAGTGCTGAAGGATGGATAACAAATAGGGATAGGCATCTGTGTGCTTCAATCTCTTCTTGATTAACTCAAACATCTGAGAGGCACTTTTTGTATCAATGTGGATCTGAAGTGAGAGAAGGTAGTGAAAGAACAAGAGAAAAAACATGCATAGTGAAAGCCTGACTGTGAAAGATCTAATCAACACAGACACAGGCGAATTTCCAGCAACTGGACTTCTGCAGAGTCTCCTGGAATGTCCAGCTGCAAGTTCTGGTGAGGAGTGGGCATATGGGTCTTTGAGATCAGCATTGCCATCCCCACTCCAGTATGGAAAAGATACCCAAAGTAAAGAGCTAGAAAGGTGTGAGGCAGGCAAAGCCACCACAAACTGTTCTGCAGCAAGCAAAACATTTGGGTCTTAGAAAGTGGTGGCATAAACAGTAAAAGCTAAGCAGGAAAAGGCTAGTTGTTGTGTATTGTGTGTGGCAAGAGCTGGTCTTGAAGAGACAGGAAACTAACTATTCTAGACCCTACAGCCTCTTACTGTTGCTAGAGGTTGTGGAAACCATCCTTGTTTTAGGTTCATCTTTAAAAGCCACCCAGTCTAAAATACTGATCCTCTCCAGAGACTCTGAGGTGACAGTCTTCAGGAGAGTTTCCTGTAATCTTGGGAAAAGTATTAGAGAAGAGCCCAAGCTTCACCCATAGTCCTGTAAAGGGGATGAGGGGATGTCTGAATCTAGGATGCATCTGGATCATCAGGACTGAGAACATGACAGTAGGGTTGAGAACCTCTTGCACTCCTGAGCCTTCAGCCAAACAAAAGAAAGAAGTCTTTGTCAAAGACACTTGGCAGAAGTCCTGTCTCTGATCATTTTCACTATTCACACATCACAAATCTGCTCCTTGTTAAATAAGAAACAGTTAAAACAAAAGCACCAGCCACTCTCAGTACCAAAGTCAATCACTGTTTTCAGGGAACACAAAGGGAAGTTGCACCAAGCATCCAAAGTGGATGTTTGGCTTTGGCAGGTTCAGGTACTACACAGAAAAACTTACCATGTCAAACCGCTTAGCAAGTTCCAGGTCATCTTCATTTCTGACCATCTCAAAGAAATCTAAGTGCCTAAGAGAAAACAGAAAAACAAACCAAACAAAACCTGCCAATGTTCATGGCACAATTCAGACCGAAACTAAGTGTGTCACTACAGAAGAAGCAACATCTCATTTCCTGTTAGAACACCTGGAAATTAGCAAGCCCTTCCCACATGAAGTGCTGGGTTAGATATGCAAGGCAACTCATGGGGGCCAATGACAGGCCAAAAGGAATGGCTGGCTGAGGAATACATGCTCTTTAACCCTTGTGCTAACCCACTGTGTTGAGGTAAGGCTTCTAAAAATAAACCTAAACCAGGAAAGAGATATTCTATTTGTGATAAATGCAGCACTTTTATCACAATGTGACAATACATTTCTAAAAAGTTCATGCATACTTGTTCACCAAATATCAGACCACTAGCAAGTTGTTTCTTTCACATGGTGGAGTAGAGATGCGTTTCAGTGGATTAGCTAAACAGGAGAGCTCATAGCTGTCTACATTTGCCTATTGATGAGCACAGCAGCATGCCTCTGTTGGGATCTGGGGGACCTGGGGAAAGACATTTAACCATGGCATCTAGACTTCTCTTACACCGAGACCAGAGCACAGCAGATGATGTGGAGAAAGGCTGTGGCACATCCCCCTGTGTAAACTTGGCATACATAATCCAGGCATTTGGGATCGCTTCAGACCTCTTATCATTCTCATTCTTGTAAGATCCAAAGTGCCCCTAAGCCCCTCCTGGTTACTGACTGTAGGAACATAGATTGCCTATAGGACAGATTGTCTTCTTGGTTATAATGTTCTAGATCAAAAGTAACGTTACTGGTTCCAGCTCTGCAGCAAACTACAGACACCTGCAACTGCATGCAATCTTTCCCTGTGACATTAATACGCAGGTATATGCCTCCACCTGCTTAAAGATGTGAAGCCAATGTTTGTGACAGATAGCTGGTGCTAACCTGGTGCTTATGCAGCATCTCAGGGCACTACATTTGCCCTCAGGGATAGCTCTATCACAAAGCTTAGCGTGGTCACAGGAGAAGGTAGAGTCCCATGGCTGCCTGGTCTTACACCTTAAAATGTTCCACTTTGTTAAGCAAATGTAATTTACGGGGCTCCTCATTGTTTCATCATTCTTGAAGCATCTCAGTCAAATTGTTCAGATTGTTTACTCCAAGTTTATTTCAGCACATAGCTTTGTGAAGGGTTTAATTTAAGATCATTAGCACCTTCAATTACTGTGGCAAAATACAGAATTACTAGTGGAAAAAGCATTTATTATCCATATAAATTTTAACACAGTAATTTGGAGATGCCAGTGTTATGTTTGTGCAGTTGCAGGGGTGTTTGAAGATGCTCCTCACTCTTCTCTCTTTGCCCCTTGGCATCTCTACCCCTGCACCCACCTTCTTTCATAGTTATGCCAGTGATGCTATTTGGGAGATTGTGATACAGGTAGATAACAAAAAAGACTGAGCTTAAAGAAAAACCTTGGAAACTCAGAAGCTGTGCTTTGACCACACATACGCAGTCTCAGTGAAGTCAATGAACTACTGACTTCCCTCCCACCTACCAGGGCTGGCTTTTGTTCCAGTTTTACTACAAGGGAAAAAAAATTAGAACATTTTTAATTTTTTTTTCATTCTGATTGCCATGCCCATCTTAGAAGAAAAGTAATTCAGGAACTCCTTGCCACAGCCACTGCCAATTTAGTCCGTACGCTTCCTACTTCATCTGCTGATTTTAAAGACAAATCTCTTTTTTGTCTTTAAAGGAAGTCAGTTTTAAGAAGAGACAGAGAAAGCTTTCTGCTTAAATCTGAAACCCAAATGGAGGAATTGATCAGTAACTGTTCTCAGAAAACATGCCTTACCTGTCCAGTGTGGCATTCTCATGTCCTCTTAGCTTGTCAATGACAGGCTGAATTCCCAGCATTAGAAACTCATATCGTAGGTGTAATCGGAACTCCAAATTGTCCTTAAGTGGGGGAAAACAAGTTATTGGGTTCCAAAAGCTTTTAATTAATCACATTATTTAAAAAGAAAAATTACTTAAAACCTCAGTTCTTCCCTTTTTCATATCTTCTATACTGACACTAAATTCACAGGGTGACTAAATCCAGTAAAGTAAGTAAAAAAGAAATTAATACCTTTGCATCTATTTCACTTAAAAATACAGTCCTCGTTTACCTAGAGTGAGTTCTGCATACCCAGTTAGAAGAACAGCACACCCCATGTTGCTCCATAAAGAATTTACTAGTGTTTGGCCTGCTAGTCCATTAGAGGTCCACCTGCTGCCTACAGATGAAAAGAACAGCATTCTTTCTCCTAGCTTTTATGTTTATTTGTCATAAAATCGCCAGATACTCTGGCAAACTTGGCTCTTAGTCAGCAGGATGTTACAGGATAGATAAACACAAATGCATTGCCAGACAGAGTTCTTACAAGCTTATTGTCTGTTGTGGTTTAACCAAAAAAAGAAAAGCCAGTGTTAACAAAAGTAACAATTTTAATGAAACAATATCAGTTTAAACTATCCTCCAGACTCAACAGAAAGTCTTGTTAATGGAAGAAAAATCAACAAACTATCTTTTCTGAAATGTCTTCCTTTGACATTTTTAAATCTAAATGTTTTGAATATGGTTTTGAAGCAAAACAACTTTTCAAAACATTTCTGAAGATAAACCAAAACGTTTTCCAACAGGCTGAAATCAAGAGATAAATGCTTTACAGTTCTTTAAACAAAACAACAAAAGACCCCAAAACAATAATTTCAGTAGTTTATGTTGCATTAGAAGACACCAGGAATGAAATAATATGGAAGACATTATAAGAACAATATTAACAATAAAGCATTATTTTCCACAAAATATATAGTCTAAATAACACAAGACATGCCATTTCTAAGGTAAATTAATCTAAGCACATTTTAGAAGGAATTTCCAGGACAATGACTCACCTCACCAGCACCAGCATTCAGAACAGCATTGATAAAGGACATGATGGCTGTTTTGAGATTTACTTCATCTCGGTATCGCCCCATACTTCGGTCTAGCTCATTCAGCAATGTCTGAAACAGAATAGCAGGCTGGGTTAGAGGACATAAACTAATTTCTTGCACCATTTGGTATACTGTTCAAGAGGTACAGAGTCTTCTTTTGATTTGCTATATATTTCCAGGGGGGTTTCAACTTAAGGTCCTTTCCAACCCTAACTATTCTGTGATTCTATGGTCTAACCTCTAACATACATATAGATATTTCATTATGACCTTGAGAACATCAGGAGACATCAGGACCTTATGATTATATGGTCTATTTAGGATTAATTCTACTTGAATAATTACCAAAGAGGTTATATGTAGAAACTGATTAGCCATGAAAGCAACTCTACTTTTAGCTTTCTGTTGATGACAGTGAATCTTCTCTTCAGAATCTTCTCTGATCAGTTCATAATTCCAAGGGTGATTTTTCTTACTGGAAGAGTAAAAAAATTCCACTTGAGATCTGCCAGTTCAATTGTATGCATCTCGCTCCAGCATTAATAATAAACTCATATATTTGTTTTGCTGATGCACTAGAAAAGACAGAATTCTTTTTATTCTTCCCAAGAAGTTTTGGCCATAAAGTGAGAATGAAGACAAAAATAACTTTCTCGTATTCAGTTCAGCAGACCATCTAAATAATATTTTGAAGCTATAATGCTGAGTAAGGAAGTTAATTTTCCTTTAGTCAGTATTGTCTCCCTAGCATTCATAGCAAAATCTTTCCTGTGCTAGTCATCAGTTTCATAGGTCTAGAAAATGGAGATTTCCCAGTAGTTGTATAATGACTAAATACCAACTCTTGCCATTTTGTCAGGAATGGGAATGTGTCTTTACATAAAAACACATGAAATGCCATACTGATCCAGACCGATGGTCAGTCTAGTCCAGCATTCTATCTCTAACAATAATAGAAGATTATCTAAGAAGTCTTTAAATTCACCAACAAAACTGTCTCTTCATCTTGACAAATAAATGGAAGTAAATGATGATTTAATTCTCTTACTGTCAGATCTGACATTGAAATCCAAAGCACCTGTGTCTTCTTGGAATAATTTAAGTAGCCATCATTACAGAAGCATCAAAACCAAGGATAGTTTTGCTGATTTTCTTCAGAGGCCTCATTCCTACCAAATATTCTCAGAGACTTCTAGTAACATGCTAGAATCTATGAAACAACATAGCAGATACAGTACCCAGACAAGATGAAGGATGCAAAAATTTTCTACCCCCCGTTTTAGAAGGCTGGACTAAGAGCAGGAAAGCAGTGGCGGCCAAATTTGCGCTAAGGTAATTGAAGAGCAGCACATCTTCATGCAGTTGTTCAGCTCTAGAAGGAAACACTGTAAGTTCGTGCAATTCCTAAAGATCAGAGTCTACACCCACACACTGTGGCTGAACTCCAATATCTCCAACCCTTTGCAAATGGCTGAGGTTCAAGTCTTCACTTGAACATTTCCTGTGAAAAAGATTTCACCACACCTCTTGGCAGCCAGCTCTGTGGCCCAATTGATCTTATGGTTGTAAAGGTTTTTCCTACTATTTAAGCAAAACTTTCCTCACTTAATCCCATTATTCCTCATCACTGACATCCAGTAGGGTTTTGTTCAATCTACAGCAAACCTCAAAAGGCTGTGGTTGAACCTTGAAGGGAAGAAACAAATCAAGTGGGAATACAGGATTTTAATTTGTTCCTTGTTAGCTCCTCTACTACAATTCCAAATTGACCAGATTTCTTCCTACAGATTATGGTCTGTAGTGACCGTGTTTAACACAAACCAGACAAGGAGGCTCTGGAAGGCAGCTTCCTAATCTCCACCTTTTCAACTGATGATATCAAGCTACCTCTATTCCTTCCCCTCAAGTTTCAAAATTTCTAGTAGCATTAAGGAGGAAGGCAAGAGTTCTACCCAAAGAAGTCCCATTAATATTTTCATCAGCAATTCAAATCAGCTCCTTTCAGACAGCATCTAGCATCTAGGTTCCCTCAAGACTAAAAGAAAAATTATTTCTCCCCATAGGCTGGTGTCTCAGATCACAAACTAGGCTGGAAGGGCACTGGAACATCCTGATATACTTTTCTGGGCCAGTACACAGCATTACAACTTTGCAACATGCATTTGACTCAACATGTGGCATGTTAAAAAAGCACAACATGTTACGATGTCATAACACAATGCCTTCACTCCACAGGAGAGGTGAGGGGAAGTAGCAAGGATAACAATAATCAGAAAGGCACCACCTTAGGGAAGAGTAAGACTGTGCCCCTTTCACAAAGGAAACAAGTCATAAATGGGACAATGAGACATGAAAGGCATGGAAATCAATGATTCTTCCTTCTCAGGTTTTTTAGAAACCTCTATTTTCACGAGAAAAGCACCTGACAAATTTGAGATGAAGCGACTTTTTGAACTTTTTGATGGTCACATAGTAAGCCAGCGATGGAATTATGCTAGTACTGATTTTGTATATATCGTATGGAAAAGAATCCCAGCAAGGACACCAAAGGCTCATCTTCCTAATTCCACATTCATGCTTTGAGGGTTTATTGTCTGGCTTTCCAATGTTTGCTTTCAGTTCTCTTCTGTAAGGAGTAGAGTAGAATTTGTAGGCAAAGAAGCATATTTCAAACAAAAATTGGATGAAGAAAAGACAGCTTTTCCAGATTGCCTCAGGAAGGAGATTGAAGGCATGACTTTATGTTATTGAGTTATTTGAGTAAAGGTGGAATACTGCTCTGGAGAGGACAGTTTTGAGGGACTATCTTAAAAGAGGAACTCACAACTGCCTGTAGGACATTAAAGTGAGAATTATTCCAGGCAGAAGGGCAGCATGAAAGAGTCAAAGATTCAAGCAGGAAAAGGGATCAGTTCAGGCAAGAACCTGCAGTCAATGTGAGAGAATAGGAATAGCTACAATATGTATTCAGACACAAACGTAAAGCAGACTCTTGTTGCAAGTGTCAAGACAAAGATGATCCTGATAGACCTGTGAACACGCTGACCAGTGGAGATATAGGGTGTAGTTGAGTATGAAAAGGCATTGAGTGAAGACTGAAGTCTCAATGAAAAAGGGTAAGTTCTGGAGAATCTCCCATAGTTTTAAAGTGACTCCTTTCTGAAGTTAAGGATTAGATTGATAACTGCAGTCAGTAGATGCAATGCTGATAATATAGAAAAAAAGCAGTATTTACATCAGCATTTCCACTCAGAACAAAAGATGATATTTTATTAAGGAGATACTTGATGTTCATGAAAGTTCTATCTATATTTTACATTAATTTTAATTAAAGAAAAAAAAAACCCACAACGCATCAAAAAGCAAAGAAATCTGTTCCAAATAGTAAGTTATATATCAGGACAGAGACAATGCAAGTTTAGTAAGAACCATGTCTGAAGTTGCAGCTTTTTTTCTCTACTAATTCACAGGTTGCTGGGTCCTCTGACTGCTTTTGAGTAGCTGTGCCAGGTAGCAAGGGTTTTACTTAGAACACTGACCAGAAATAACTTCTGACATTCAACAAAATATTCTATGCTTTATGTTACTGTGTTAAGTACATGATCTCTACATCACTCCACCACACCTGAACATGTGCAAATTCAAGATAACCAGTGTCCCAATCTAAAGTTGTCAGCACCAACTTATGCACTAGTTCAAGTTTTAGCTGGTTGCCAGTAAATTCTGAATCTCTCTTCTTCCTTCTTACAAAGAGGAGTGGAAGCAGAACTGTGCACCCCAAATTTTTATTCGTCACCATGATACTCCACTGCAAGGAGCATAGCAGCAGATCTGGATGTGTTTCTTATGTTTACTTCCTGATTCCTCAAAGTACATAGTGCTGGTCACTGCAGAGGATATGGGGAGAGTGAGACACATATTTACTGCAATATGCAAGAGGGGAAAATAAATCCAAACACATAGTATACAAAGTACCAGCTTTCATAGATTAGGAAGGATAAATTGACAGCGAGGTGGCTGAAAGAGCAAAGAATATTATCAACCACTGTTGTCAGGAAGGCAACTTAAGTAAAAGCACAACTGCACTGATGTTCTCAGAGGTCAGCATTACCTGCAAGTTCTTTCTTGGACCTTCCGATAACAGTGAACTCAGTACAGTTTTCAGAAAGCCCTACGCCTTTTACTTCCCTTGATAATGAGCTGCAAGACTGGTCTGAAGCACAGATGTGGGAGGGCAAGAGGCAAAGAGATATAACAGCCTCTTAACTGACAAGTCCTGGAGTATGAGAGAGTCTTCCACTAAAATGTAAGGAAGACCATGACCACATTTATTTCACCAGCATTTAAAAAATGCCCGTCTCTCTGTTAGAAGAAAATCCCATTCCAGCATCTAGACACAAGTGTTAGAAATTGCACACAAGAACACATCCCTTCTGCTAAATAATTTTGGGGTTTGGGTGGCATTATTTTATTTTGTGTAAGAAAGAAAAAAGAGATAGTATCCATTTATCTTTCAATTTTTGCCCAATGGAAAAGCACTTTGACAAAAGCAAGCATTTATGCAAAGTACTTTCATGAACATGAAAGTTGGTAAAGATCTGCAAATCATTAAACCAGGTTCCTCAAAAGCTCAGCTGTACAAGACCTATGCACACTTTGCCCAGCAATTAATCACCTCAGTTATTCACTATATTTTAAACTAATATAAAAAAAGAGAGGGAGAACACCCAAATAGGAGACTCTGAGTAAACTCAGCATCTACCTTCCACATAAGTTTATTAAGCAAAGTCTCTTCATCAAGTATAAGTTAACACAGGACTAGAAGTGTCAGGGCCATGAGTTATCTCCTGCTTTTTGCTGAGCACTTAAGGTTATCTGCACCTGTCTCTCAGGTATACAGGAATGTCAAATTAATTCAGGAAGGAGTCTTTATTTCAGCTAATTTATAGAAAATAAGCTGGTTTTAAAGCTTTTCCTTCTCTCTTCCATAGGCAGTCCACATTAACCTGCACATCATAACTCTGTAAATGGCTTACTTTTCTGCTTCTGCATTGGTCACTCCCACCCTACTTCTGTACCTAGAGAATGGTGATATTCTTATGATTGCAGCTGTAATCTCTTCACCTTCCAACCTTTACTGTAATTACTATTTTCCCTTTTGAGATAGCTTCAAGAGCTTTCAACCAAGATTGAAAGCTGCTCTGTCCCCCTTTCTAGAGTCATATATTATATGTGACATATCTGCATATTGAAGACATGCATGAAGCCTGAATCCAAATGGGACAATGCACACAGAGGGGTGACCTGCCAATGTCACATATGGGTTAAAAACCAACCAAGATCTCCTGCATCCCAGTCTCAGGTCTGAGTCACTGTCAGTGGGTGTTGGCTCAAAACTACTCTTATCATTTCATCTATGAAAGAAGAGTAAATTATTGAGGTTACTCTAAAGTTTAGGAACTACAATTTCCTACACAGCAACAGATCCTGTTATATTTTTTTTGTAAAGGCACCCAGTTCACTAGGAAGAGGAATGTTAAAATAGTAGCCAGCAGTATCCATAGTAAAAGCTTGCCAATGATCTACTGACCTACCTCAAGGTCTCCAAGATTGAGTTTCCCCTTCTGTGTTCTGAATGGGAGTTAACCTTGAGCCAACAATTGCTAAGTGGTGACAATTCATAAGTTGATTGCTAAGTGGCAGTTGAAGTGCCTCCACTGCACATTATTAATCCGTTGTCTCCATTATTTAATCAGCAACTCTTTTATTAGTAAATTAAGGGCTTTAAAATCAGGACAGAGGCTCCTGGAATTCTGTGGCTTTGGCTTCTAGGGCAGAACCAATCATTACCACCCAGAAATGCCATCTGGTTATAGTATGAACAGATTAGCAGCTTTCATTTAACATAGCAAACCCCCATTTCTTGGTAAATTATAGGGGATTTTAAGTTAGCATTAATGACAAGCAATCAGGTCTTGGGGAAAAAAAATAAATTGCTGATAATCTATTTGAGGCAGTGCCTTTCCCAAGATAAAATGAGAAATCTTGCCTTTTTACTACCTAGCAAGTTTGCAATATATGCACTGTAAAAATCACTCCCTACAAAGATTCATCATACTGGGTATTTCTGGCAAAATATCCTCCTTGTACCTGGAATCTTGTCCTTTCTGCAGCATAGACTTGGTAGTGAAGCATGGCTTGCAAGACCTTCTTGTGACCATCTGGTACCAAGCAGACAGCTCCTAGGATCTCCAGTACAGCAATCTTGGTCTTAATGTTCTCAGTCCGTAAACTCTGGGAAATGATGTTGATACTCTCTGGATGAGCCAGAACATGAGCCCGTCCTTGGGAGTTGTTCATCAGTGCCTTGATACACCCTATAACGGATGTGTGTATACGGCTCTCTGAGGTCTCGTAGTCCATGCTCTTCAGGAAGTTCAGCAAACAGCTTAGGCCATCCAGCTCGATAAACCTGGTCACAAACCTGGAAAAAAAAAACAAAAAACAACCAAACAAACCATAAAAAAGAGGTAGAAAAAATAAGGAAAGCAGGCTAACAATAATTTATTCAAAAGATACCATATTATTCAACCCTGCATCTGTAAAAGCTGGCTAGTTTTCAGCCTAACATTCAAAGAATAATTCCCAGCTATTTAAGAAAAATCAACCAACCAAACCAAAACAAACAAACGACAGGATGGACTAGCTAATAATAGTGTGTCACAGTTTCAGGGTAATTATATTTTAGCACTGTGACCCTACTGTTCTGTCTCTGTGTTCTTTGTTGCAGTTACCACCATCACCTGCTGTAGACCACCCCAATAATTGCTGCATTTTCAAGGTGGAACAGATTCTTTCAAGTTGCTACATCTTACATATATGCTAATACACACAAGATACGTTTTCATACAGACTCATCACCACATTTTTGAGTTCAGACTATATTGCAAAACATTTGTAGACTATGGTCAAACTTTTAGTCAACACTGCTTATAGGCTTCCACCTCCAAGAGCTGGGTACACCGGCAGAGGCAAACTCATTACAACTTTGTCTGTCAGCTGCACTGACTTCACACTCAGATCCCGTGAATATATAGGAACATATTATAATTCAAAAGGGTCATGTTCTTCAGTAAAAGGCAAAGCTCCTGTAATGGCCTCAGGTGATTTTTTTATTGTTGTTTGATTGTTTGGTTTTAGTTTGAGGAGATATATTATGGATGGAGCAGCTCCATTGTCAACCGGCAGTAGCAAAATGTAGAGTAGAAACATCATAAATAGAGGAAATACGGAATTAATCAGTTACCAAATGATACATCAAAGACTGAACCTACAGCAGGATAGGTTTATTTTGACTACTGACATCACTAGAGCTCTGTTTCTACTGTATTCTACCATAAAATTTGCCTTTCCTCAGATTAATATTATGGAAACTGAGGATGAAAATAAAGTCTTGGAAAAGTTTAAGGTTTTGTTGAAAATTGGGGTTAAAAAATACAGGTGGGTCAAATTAAACCATGCAGATAGCCTCCTAAACAAATCAATAGAAATGGATGGGATTATATAAATCAGTTCAATCATTCATTTAGAGTTCTCAGGCTTAAAAAAGGGGATTCAAAGATATGAAACAGGCTGCAAATAATTTCTCTAGGTCTCTTTGTTTACGTCCTGCCTCCTTTAACAGGTCATTCGGGTAGGTGCACTTTTTTTAGAATGTCTGAATGCAAAACCATGTGAATTACATTTGAATTTTCAGTCTACCGAAATGCACACCAACAGTAATACGTCCATGACCAGACTTTAAACAGCATAATGTAGAAAGGCACCTCAAACAAATGAAAAGGTTGTTAACAATTGCTACCTGTGTAACAAATTAAAAATACCAAAAATCTGTGTTATTGTATCCAGCCCCTCTTCCTCCCTGTTAGATGCTTCGTGATGTACTGTCTTTCTCTCTTCTGTCCTTGAGTGAGATGCTGTTGCTACCATGAATGGAAGCACCACAGTAAGAGACTGAATTGCACTGGTCTCTGTTCACATCTCTGCACCAGCAAGGCAAACCTGAGCCATACTTATACATCTCCCAGATAATATGGACTTGACATATGTATGGTCTTCTGGTGGTTAAATCCCACACCACACAGGAATTTTCAGGGTCTACCTTAAAGTTATGCTTACTATGCTGATAGATTTGCCAAGTTTCAGCTTACTTGGGCCAGCAGTTTGACCAGAAACATGGCAAAGCCTGGTGCTTTCAACAAAGTTTCAGTCTGAGGTTTGGGTTTTGTTCAAAATTGAATTTCAAAGTGAATATCAGAGTAAGGGCAAGCACACACAGGAACACGTGTGCACCAAAAATGAAAACAAGATTTTGTTGAAGCCTGCTAAGACAATCTGCCAAGTTTCACACAAGTCTGATTACACTTTCTTTGGATGCGTCATCTTATCTACTCTTAACAGGTCATAGAAGCAAGAACCCCTCTGTCTAGAGGACAGAGAGTGGGGTCAACATTGTGCACCAGGAATGTGTAACTCACTCAAAGCAGTTTGTTGTTCAAACCGGTTATAGAAAGATTAAAACTTAGTTCAGTTTCTGTAATGCATTTAGCTGCTAGCATGCCAAAGATGACTGAAATTAGCACATATATTGTTAAAAGAGTTGCTGCTAACGATATATTCTGAACCAAAAAAAGATGTTTTGCTGTTCTTTTCACTTCCAGGGCTAAGAAAAGACTTAAGATGGATACCTTTCTGAAGATATGGAGATCTACTAAAAACATCCTTAAGAAGCAGCTGAACAAAGCGTCCCTTAAACATATTTTTGAATGGAACACCTAGTCTGATGGTAATACTTGCAAGGTACTACAACCTTCATGTATTTTAGCCTGCTCTGATGAAAACATGAAAGAAAAATGATAAATGCACAACAGTCACATTGTCCCAATTAAGTACAATCCCACACTAAATTCATTGGCCGAGCAATTTTTCTAGGACTGTCTGGATGAGGTCATTCAAAAAAGGAGGCATGCGCAGGAAAGTGGTGTGTGTCATAGACCTTGATTAATGACATAAGTTAAAACAATGTCGGGATTTTCCTGTACTCTTCCTAGTCTGGACAGCAAACACTAAGCTGCGTTACTCAATAGGAAGCAAATCCAAGTACCTTCCCATTTCAGCTGACATCAGAAGCAGGAACCAAATGATGATTTTAATCTTTCTTTTCAAAACCACTCAGTTTCCTATTCCCCAGAAAAACCAGAAATCATGCAATAGATAAAGAAATGGCAGTAGCAGTTTCTGGGCCAACAGACACACTCACAATGAGGATTTGCTCAGTGTGGGAAGTTATGTGTATAAATATGTAGAGAAATCATTAGAGAAAAATAAGAGAGTTTAGCTGACAGGCTGAGAGCCACAATCTTCACACTGTTTGGTGGTTTTGTATCTGTATGTCTGTAAGGAGAGCTCTATGTGTGTGTGTATGTGCAAAAGCAAACCCATCTCATACAGATAAAGTACCTTCTTCCTCACAATATACACATACGTAGCTAACTGACATACTATACATCCTTTATGCTGCAAAGTAAGGTCTTGTTCTAGACTGGAAGGTGTAAAGTTAAGCATGTTTGCCAATGCATTCTGGCTAACACATCCAAAAGCTCAAGTGTAAATAAAGCAGGGTGTGTTTTAATAGGTGCTAAACAAGCAAATTAAAGCCTAACCTCACCTCAGACTCTCACTTGACCAGTTTAGCACACTTTAAAAGTCAAGGTGCCTCTTAGCCTTTCAAGTTTTTGAGAGTGCTGATCAGAATGAGTTAGCTAACTCCAATAACAAACGTTTCATGCAAATGCAGATAGGGCAGCCTAAGAGGTAATGACCAAAGGCAGCGGGGGGAAAAGCCTCCCTATGAGTCCTGATTCAGCTCAGGAAAGAAAGATCATACACTGTGGGTGTGCAGAGAGCAGGATGTTCCCACCCTGTTAACAGCCAAGGCTATAGTTCCCTGCAGCATCAGTTTTTGAATCAGGGCACACATAATCCTGACAATACTGAACTGCTGACAAATTCAGCATAATGGATATTGCTTGCTGGATGCATAGATGATCATCTCCAGTATGCACTTAATGCAACACGGCTAAATCAAACAAAAATAACAGGAGGTAAATCCAAATTAAACAAAAGGAGAAAAGCAGACAGCAAAGGGATTTAGCGATGAATCAAACTAAAGGAGGTATTTTTCTGTGTTTCCAAAACTGGTTTGTTTTTCTTTCCCCCCCAGTCCCTTGTAAGTTTTTACTTTTATTGCACTTCTGAACCTCCATTTTGGGGCACCAAAATACCAAAAGAAAAGCTCTTCTTTCACTGCTTCTGTCCAACAGTTTGTCATCACACTTGTTTATAGTCATAAGTTCTTACAAACCTAAAAGAAAATGTGCTTCCTTACAAGATGCAGATGTGGGCTTTTTTGTTCTCTAAGGCTGGGGTTGTTCCTGCATGCTGAGACATAAACTGGCTTTGTTATTTCAGGGCAGCTCCTAAACACCAGAACAAAATGCACTTGCTTAAAGGGAGCCAACTAGCTGCCCAGGGATGTTTCTATTGCCTTTTCTCCAAAGAGAAGAGGAAGTTGAGTTTGGATCATTCTGCTTCAATTTTTGTTGCTGTTAGGTCTCAGGTGTTGGGGTAGAGGTATAGATTAATACCATTACTCTGCATTTTCTAATAGAAGAGTCACAGTTCTAGTAAAATAAAACACAGAGCCAAACAAGTGCATTTTTCTTCTTTTGATTCCTCTAGATCAGAGAATTCAAGCAGAGGAGCCTTGGTAAGCTGTCAGAGCCCCTGTAATACCCTACCATCACAAATGGATTCCAGACAGTTCATCCTGTGTGAATTTAGGTCTCTATTTTCTTCAGAGGCCTGATAAACAGAAGTGGCAAGGAAAATAGGATTTGATGTCCAAATTCAGCTAGAAAGACTAGTATTTTGAAGGCTTGGGTATCATAGTGCTTATGAGAGGGATTTGATGGAGCTGAGGGCCTCTCTACTGCAACCTTTCCATCAAGAAGAAATTGGCTTGTTGATCAGGCACTGGCATGCAGCCCATTTGGCAGCTAACGAATTGAGTTGCTGGAAATTAGTTGAGACATAAGACTTAACTCAAAATTTGGCTTGGCTTAACTATTAAAAAATAAAAATAAAAAGAGAGCCCCCTAACCATCGCCAGTGATTGAGAAGTGAACACTTTATAGGGCAGCTCATAGATGCTTGTACTGAAGCTTGTTAGGGTTATTATAAACAGATGAAGCAACAGGCTGCTGTCAAGGGGACCCAGCAGAAGCCGTATAGGTCAGAGAAGGAAAACCTTGCAAGGCTTTGAGCGAAAGACATTTCTCTTTCTTCTTCTCTACTGACTTGCATTCAACAAGGAGGCTGGGCTGTCTTATTTAAAATGACAGAGCAGAACAACCAATGGCAGCCACCAAAGTGCTTCAACTGGACACAGCAGAAAGGCTTTGCTGCCATGGCTATGCTCAACGAAAGCTATGGCTTTCACAGAGTAAGCACCATATCAGCTCCACATTAATGTTACAGAGTTGCTACAGCAAGTCTCAGCAGCACAGGACTTTGTTTTAAAATCCTTGTGAGAGTTGGGAGTTTGGCAGCTTCCATTTTAACACAAAGTCCAGTTGCATTTTACTGTGTTCTCTGATTTAGGACAGTGATAGACTGGATCGAAGAGTCACTTATCCCCTTGGGCTGCGTCTCAATACAGGCCCCCGTTTCTCCACTTCCACGTTAAAAGCACTCAGCCAAAGGCTGATGAAACTTTATGCCTCAGAGGAGCACCAGAACCTGGCTTTGTGCTGTTTTACAGCCCATCACAACAGGAGGTAAAAACCTGAGGTTTAAGCTGATGTGTTCTACCTCTCACTTGCTGCGAGGTGAGAAACTGCAAGCAGTCAGCTTTTTCAACATGAAGGGGGGAAACACAATCAGCACTTAGCTCTGCAAGAAGTCTCAGAATATGTCTTCACTTCAAGTCAAAGTTACTGCAATGTAAATTCTTTGAGATGTTTTTATTTATTTATATGATTGGTTAGGTTCCTAATGCTTAGGCATCAGTGAAACTCTGAAACTATGACTTCAGTACAGTGTTGATGCAAATGCATTTGGCCTATTTTGGCCTAATCAAAATCACTCAGAAACTTTTTGTCCAAGTGTTTCCTGAGATCATATCAACTACAATTACTGCTTCTGCACAATGGTCTTCTAACTGTTCAATGGAAAAGGTTTCTATGCTAGTTAGCTTGCTAACATTCAGAGCTTTGTTCGTAGATAAACAAAGATGACCTTACCTTCAAAGACACAGTGCACAATAAATTCTCTTAACGTTTCTCTACAGCACAGTTACACACAGAACAGGAAGAATGCCAAACCAGGTGATGTCAGATGGATTAGTAGCTTTGTACCAAACAGTTCGCATTACATATAGATAAGAGGAAGCTTGAATTCAAAGTCCAGAGCAGAGACTGAGATTTTACCTGAAGTCAAATTACATGGGATGTTCAGGGGGCTATGAAGTCTACAATCTGATCTTCATAACCATTACCCGTGTTTACACATATCTGCCACAGGTTTTTCACTGAAGACTTTCTCTTTTATTTTCCTGAAGCTACATGCTTTACATTAGTGTGCCCTCCCAAATAGGCAGGTCCAGACCAGGGTCTGTAAGGCTCTCTGTGGATTGTTTGAAATACTAGAGGTTTGTGTGAGGTGAGACAATGAGGTTTCTGTCCTTGCCACTCTCTCCTGTGTCACATCTGACCATAGGGAAGCAGTGAATTGTGATGAAAGACGAACAACATTACCTCATGGGCTGAGTCCGCAGAGCTGTCTTCAAGTCTTCAACTATTTTATTTTTCATTTCTGTTTCTTCTTCATCGAAAGCATAGAGAGTCTGCATCTGTTCAGAAAAGATGACGACAATCAGGAAAGCTCAGGCTGCCTGGAAGCTAAGAGACAAGCCAGGAATTATGAAAAACAACTATCCCATCAACCCATGCAGAGGTGCCTGCCGACCTCTCACCAGGAAAGCAGCGTCTCAGCTATAAAACTGAATCCAGATGAGGCTGCTCATGTGGACTGGCAGCAGCATACCGTTTTGCCACACTGGCTAAACTAGGGTTCTCGGATTACCCCCCAGAAAATCATACTTGCCAGTATGCCCTCAGAAAACAGCACCTAATTTGGAACAGTGATCAGCTATGGTAATCTATGGATATGCGAGACAAAGTCTGTAGGGAGACGTAATATCTTTTATTAAACTGACATGGCTGGAGGGATTTGGGAGGAAAAAAAAAAAAGAAAAGAAAAAAAAAATCCTAGACTTGTGTGTCAGGTTTCAAAGCATAAAAGCTTTTCTCTTCAAGTGACTAAACAGCCTGTAAGTACCTTGAATTACAGTTTGTGTACATAAAAGTTTGACTTTTCTTCCCTATGCTAAGTTTATCACCTGCTTTAAGACACTGATTTTCCCCATACACTCTGGCCTTGCTAATTAGGAATGGAAAGTTAGAGCATCACAAAATCCCTGGGTTTTAACTAGTAAACTGAAGCACACAGGGACTAGATTTCCCCCTATTATGCAGCCAGAGATAACTAGAGTTTGCAGTCAACTGGAACTGAAGATGCTGGGGGGTCACTATAAATTGGGGTGAGAGAGGATGAGTGGAATACATGCAAAAAAATACAGTTCTCAGACAATGCCATTAAAAAGAGTGTTGTATCAGGAAATCAGGGTTCCAGATCTCCTCTCAGTACCACTGCAACCTTGTGATGTGAAGCAAGACTCTTCAGTGTCCATCCCATATACCATTCAGGCTCACAACTTCCATGTGTGACTCTGCAGAAAGTCAAGACTCAATGCTGAAACTCTTAGCCAATATAGTGTCTTCTAGTCACTTTAATTGTAAAATAGAGAGGTTAAATGACTTTTATTGGCAGGACTCCCTGGGGATATCACTCGGTGTCTGGAAAGCAGCTCTGAACCCCTTCTCAAATGAATAACCCAATTAAACTAGTATCATCTATCAGAGATCTGATGATTCCACCATCTCTGTGGTGGAATCTAAGTAGCTACAATTACGGCCCATTACAACAAAATATTTAAGTCCTTTTTTACTGTTTAGAAAGCACCAAAGAGAACCTTCCTCTCACTGGAACTTCTTTTAACCCTGCCCCCGCCACCAGCCCGACACCTCACTTCCCTTGGAAATGCTCCCATGTTGCTTGCTTTTTGCAAACCGTGTGGTGCCAACACATGTCGGATCTTGAGGGTGGTCATTTGGCTACATGCCGCTGCAGTCTTATGCTGAACAGCTGGCATGGGGAGATGTGTTTAACTCTAGGGGTCCTCTCTCTGATCCATGCTAAAGTCAAATTCACTCAGTAACAGAGCAAGCTATTTCCTGCCCTAATGGAATGACAGAGCGCTACTGATGGAAAACGAGCTGATGATGTTTTATCTTTTGCCAGCATCCTCCGACAGCCAGAAACATAAATTGAAATGCTTAAGCCAAGCCATATATGATCCCTCTCTTCAAAAAATAAACAGAAATCCTGAACAGGCATTATAGAATCTCAATGGCAGAGTCCTGGGGTGTGATCTGGGACTTGATTTGTATTTTCTTGGGTGACAGCCCATCTGGTCATCTTTCCTTTGGCCCATAAATGCCTCTTTGAAAGGCTCCCATTCCTCCAATTGCTTAATTTCTCCTCTGAGCCATTGTGGGGGGAAACCAAAGGGATGGTAGGAAGGTGCTCAATGGTATTGTGTTCAGAGTGAAAAAGGCCCATTTCCAAATGAAACAAGTACAAATAATCCTGCCTTTACAACAGAGGGTGATTATAGAACACCCCTTTTCTAAAGCTGCAGGCGGCCAAGAGCCATTCATTTCTCACTCCTGTGCGTGGCCAGGAACTCAAATCCTCATGCCCTCTCTAAAGACAGACTGGTCACGCGTTCGCATTATGAAATAGCTTTCTTGGCAAGAATTACAGAAAACATAACTGTCCCTGGGAGACAGAGGGGAGGGAACTGTCATTGTTTGAGGCTGGATTTCATTAATGTGGCTGACTGATGAATTGCTTTCCTGAACTACAAACTGCACTCGAGGACTAACGTCTGCTGTACTAGGATGCAGCTAGTTATTAACAGTTAACCAAACATACTAGGGATCAGAAGCAAAATAGTGTGAGGTCCTTATCTGGTCCCTAAACAATGGTATACATAAGGCTTTTTTAAAATAATTTTTTTACAAAGACATTTTGCATATTTAAGGTTTTCAGATTTAAGTGCATCACCTGGTAAAGTACAGCATTCAGTTGCTTGATTCGTCAGCTCAAAAAATATAAAGAATATATGAAAAAAATCATTCACATGGAATTTAATGTGTAAAACTTCAGGCAGTCCAAGAAATTACTTTTGAAAATTTGGTTCCATTTGCAATGAAATATTTTAGTTTTATTGAAAGCACAAATTAATTCCCACACTTTATCCTAATGGCTAATCATTCCCCTAAAGTGCTGGGAAGCAAAATATGGGACTATAATGACAGTATGTGTGAGAAAGAGAGAAAAAAAAAAAGAAAAAAGGAAAAAAGAGGCATAAATAGTGAAAAAGCAACCCACATGTTCTGATTTCTCGTTATAATCCAAGCTTTTTTTTCAATTTTGTCTAAAATAATAACAAGCGTTACCATTATTGAAATGACTTCTGATCATAAACAAATCCAAGTAAACTTAAAATCAAAATTTGAGAAAAAAAAATACTGTATTCCATGCCTCCAATGATTTATCTGGATAAAACATTTCTTCACAGAAAATAAGCTAGTTGAAATTCAAGGTACACCTAATCTCTAACTACATCAAGACTGAACCAAAAGAATTAGCTATGAATCATAAACTACAAGTAGATGTAATTTAAAAAACCTGAACTTTTCAGCAAATAAGTTTAAAGTAACATAGATGTTACCTAACCCAGATGGAGGAAGAGAGTTACCATTCACCTGCTAAATTCTGCTGAAAAATATATACTTTTAACATCCTTTGAAGCTGCTCTGTCCTGAACAAATGCTTTCTGGGTCCAGGAAAAGGGCCTGGTTACAGCTATGTTTATTAACCTTGACCCTTATTTTATACTCTTGACTGAGCCATCTCTCCCGAAAATCTAGATCGGCAACTACTGTTCACCTGAAAGCCTCTCTGTGGAAATGCACACACAGCCAAGCTCACAAAAGCAACACGGTGCTGTCAGTAGTTTTCCTCCCCAGTGAAGCGAGGGCTGTGTTTATTTGTGCTGCCAAGCAGACAGTATCATGGGGTGAGGAGGGCAGGAGGAGCACAGGGTGGTTTCTTTACATGTGATATTAACAGGGCAGCTGCTTCATTTTTACAAAAAGAAGTTATGTGTATTGATGAATCAGCAGAAGATGACAATGACCTTGATAACGGAAACTGTCTCTAACTGTGGGCATACAACCTGTCCACACTCACCAGTATTATTTATAGCATGTAGACATCAGAGAACTGGGCAAATTTGGAGGCTCCTCTTTCTAAATTAGACATCATTAGCAGCTGTCCCTTAAAGACTGGTCTTGAAGACAGTCTACCAACGATCTACTTGGCCCCTTCCTTCCTTTCAGTCGGGGTACCTGAAGGATGGGACAGTTCCTCCACAGGAATTGCACACTACTGACTAGTAAAGAGATCCAGCTTTACTGTCATACACTTTTGTGAGAACTGAGTTTTAAAAATATTAAATCTTAGAAGTCACAGCAACAGGAACAATTGTGGGAACAGAACTGTGCTTAAAAAGCATGGCTTTTTGAACTGGATGAGGAATCTGTGACCTAAAGTGCTTCCTAACATAGTGGTCTAAGGTTACAAGTAGGGAATGTCAAACATGTCAGGCATCACCAAATTGCTCTCAAGCATAATCTATGAGGGACAGATATGATGGGTAACACTGCAGTGGGTCTTCTGAGAAAATGATCCTTGAGCTCAGGGGGCTTGGCCTGCTGAAATCCACAGAAAGATGCTTCATGGTATCAGCATAAAGGTGCCATTTCCACTTTATCAGCAGGTAGGAAGAACTTTTTTGCCAAGCTAATATATATATAAAGAAAGAGCTTTGTGATTAAACAAAAGGATAGAGAGTAGATGTAAAAGCTGAATGTAAAAAGATTCTTATGCAGTTAATTCACAGGAGATGCAAAGATTAAATTTTATTTAAAAAAACAGGATTTAAGGCATTTTAAACTAACACTTCTGTGATTATTGCTACCACTTCAACTCTAGTACTTCTTGCAGTATTTCTAATTAAAATATTGAAATACCTGATAGTGCCCAGGAGACGCAAATTGAAATAGACTAGACAGTGTCAGGAAGCAACATGAAACATGTTTTTCTTTCACCACTTCTAAGCCAACTCCACTTGGATGTAGTTAAAAAAAAAAAAAAAGGATTTAAAAAAACCTAGCACTAAATTTAGGTCTGAAATTATAAGGGACCCAAAATAACCATTTGGAAGTTAAGAATCTCAGAGGTCTAAATAATAATGAATAGAACATGTCTTTTAATGTGTGTTGGAGCTGGTTCTCAGCTGTATTACTCCAGTTTTCCGCTGATACAATTCCTGTGAAATCAAGTCAACTAAGTTTCACCTGCCTAAACGTGAAGCAACTAAGTGCTAAATCAGAAGCATGGAGTTTAACCCCAGCGTGTCTTCTCAACACTTCAAGCATAAGAGTAAATCATGAGGCTTTAAGCCAAATAAAAGGTTACCAATCATTCAGTGCTGAGGCACGCAAACAACATTACCAGGGCTAGTGTTTATTGGTGCTCTTAAAACATGTTTAAAATTAGAAACACAGGCCAAAGTATAGTCTTATTCCATGGAACTGCTCCACATTTACAATAGTGTACATATTCACTCCAGGTTTACATCAAGATCATTTAAAGACCAATCCAAAAGTAACTGAAATCAATGGAAAAACTTGTAGTGGATTCAAGATGCCTTGGATAAAATCCTACCAGAAGTATTTGGCTCAGTGAGAATGCAAGGTTTCATACTCATTTTTTTCCTTAATGGATCTTGTAGAGCAAATTTGTTCAGTCAGGAAATAAAAGCATAGTGCCATGCCAGTCACAAAATGTCAATCTCTTTTCTCAAAACCTGTCCATATTCTTTCTATACTATTATACTGACCCAAGAAAATCTGTTATGAAGAAAGGTGATCATTTTGTTTATTCATGACACACAGAAGAAAGCAGCTTTTTTTTATCCTTTAACAGTGAGTTATAACAACTTGTAAATCTTGATTATTTTTTTTACTGAGCAAGACATATTTCACCATGAGAAATGCATTAGTACTGACACATTTAGCATCCTAAGGCATTATTTTTATGGAATTATTTTATAGGTCATAACCACAATACAAAATGTGCAGAGAAGCCTTTAGAAATCAAACATAAAAGCATACATAAACAAACAAGGTGCAATACCGAAGATTTAGGAAGAGAATTCTATCATCATTTCTGCATAACTGCCAAAGAAAGCTGAGTAAGCACTGCTTATGAATAACTGGAGGCAAGATTTGACTGGAGAGTTAGCATATCAAAGGAGGTCAGTGGACACTATCTGCAGGTGGTGTTCTACTCGTAACCAGCTCTACCGGATGCTTCAGAGGAAGAGGCATACTACACAGCTATTGAACCAGGACAACTGAAAAAAGTTTTCCTCAAATATTGTGTTGGCTTGTATCTGATGTCTAAGGTGTTGCAGCCTTACATTCCTCTATTTACCTGCTCTTATATAAGAAGTAGATATTGTCATAAACAACTATCTTTAGTTCTTTACTTCTTTAATTCTTCTACTAAACTAATAACCCCAGTGTTATTTTGTAGTTAGAAATCAATGTGGAAACACACAAGAAGACAAAACTTCACCTAGTTTTCAAAAAGTTGCTTTTCTGATTCATCAGATATTCTCATGAATTTTCATTCCAGAATCTAATTTGATTGCCTTCAGTGCTCAGTACTGTAGAAATAAAAACTGGAAATGCTTATGCTCTAATCTGTTCTTTTGCTGAAGGAAGGATCTTTCTTAATACACCTATTTGTCTTCTTTGAGAAGCCCTGTTTTAAATTAGTCATGCATTTGGGCTAACGTACTTCTCCTCTTGGGACTTCTTCCTAAAGAAACACATCTCTATGGTAGGAAATCTTCCCTGCTTTGCACGAGAGGTAACTTACTGCTGCCATGGAATTGATGCGGTCAATGTAGTAATCTGGCCAGCTGGTAGCAAGCTTATTAGGATCTTCTTGTTCCTGAAACAGAAAGTTAAACAAGGTTACAAAATGACCCTTTACAGGATTAAATGCCACTGTAGAATCACCTGTGATTCTTCTCCGCACTGCTCTTTCTTGTGGTATCTCCCCCCATATTTTTGTATAATGCACATAGATGTGTGGCATTTATCACAAACATTTCTGAATGTGTAATGTTAGTGCTGTCACCACGGTGTGCCAGATAAAAAGAATACCCTTCAGTTAAGGTTATTAAACACAGAATAATAAAGTTTGATGGAGACACAGTTATCTTTGGCATCTAAGCAGCAAAACTTCAGTCCCTTAAACGTACTATGTTTCCAAGTAGAAGGATAGCCCATATACAGATAACAGGTTTAAATTTTGTTGCTTTATACTGACAGATTGTATAAATTATTTTGCCTCTACTGCTAGAGCAATGGTGGGATTCACTAACAAAGGGGTTTAACATCTGCTATGGAGGGAAAAATAAAATAAATCAAGAAACCTGAAAAGAAGCCAAAAGACTGCTTCATCTTGATGTGATAAACCAAAAAGAGGTTTAGACTAGACATTAAGAAGTACTTCTTTACTGGGAGGGTGGTCAAATGCTGGAACAGGCTTGCTAGAGATAGAGAAGTGGTCGATGCCTTAAGAGGCATTTGGACAATGCCGTTAACAACATGTTTCAGCTTTTGGTCAGCCCTGAATTGCTCAGGCAGTTGGACCAGATGATTGTCATAGGTCCCTGCCAACTGAAATATTCTATTCTATTCTATTCCATTAAGTTAAGCACAACCTCAGAACATCCAAAGGAACAGAACAGCATCCCCTCAGTTATAGTCGAAGAAGTATTAATCCTTCTATCCCTGTCTCCCAAAAAATCCACCTGATATCATCTTCGCTAGGCTAAACACCACCAAGTTCAACTTCTAAAAGAAGACCTACCCTACTCAGGAACCAATTCTTTTTCCTTGGCTGCTCAATGAAAATTACATTTCATTCTAATGGGTATATTTATTTCTAGATAGGTGTAATGGTCACTGTGAGTTTTGGTTTCTAGGATCCTAATCTCCTTTTATAAACTACAAATAATTCATATTAGGACTCCTAGCATATGATAAGAAATTGAAACACTTGAATCATCCTAAGGTGTCCAAAGATGTATGAAGACTGTGTGGATCTCACCACTGTTGTCTATGAATGTTTACTCACACCAGAAAAGTTAACCTGGAAGAGATAGAGAAAAATATTATGTCTGTAGGCCTCTTGGAGTACCTCAGCTATTCCAGAACTGTTTGGTTTAGAGATGAGAAACAGCTCTACTTGCTCCCTCCTGTGCCACATTCATAAAACACCTTGCTACCTGACAAGTTCCTGCCAGGCTACATACCAACACAGGGTAAGAGTTCTGCACAAATGAAAATCTTCATATTTAGAATTAAAAACAAAGTAATGACTGAGATTTTGATCTTTCATTCCCTTCTTTTCATTCTACTGGTCTTTTAACATGTAAACTAAAGGGTATCTCCATTTACAATACCAACAAAACAGCTTTGTCCCCCTCTAAGTAAAGGACTACAGTACGGACACATCCTAGACATATCACAACTCTTTAATCAGCCCTTTTATCCAAATGAACAATTGAGAAGAAGGTTTAAACAAAGCACCATTTAGTAGACTACTACTGTACGAAAAGTATAAGAGGCTGGCAAAGTGGCAAGAGATACCAATTACACCCACAATTGCTATGCAGACACCACCTCATGATAATAAATAGTACAATTAAGAACAAGGTGGCCTTTCTCAAAATAAGTGAGACATTCTGCTGCTTTTCCTTACTTCCCTTTCCTGGCCACAATCAGCAGGACTCTGATGGACCCAAATCCACGTCATATGCCACATTATAGGAATATGCAGCTCCCTACCAACAGCCAGTCAGAATTGCCAGACCACATGTAATGGGCAGATTGCCTTTTGCTGTCCCTTTTCTGTGTAGAATATCCAATGGGAATCAGAACTCTGACAGCATTTTCACACTCAGCAGACCTTAACCTCCCATGCAAAAGTCAATGTATGACCTTGCTGATGGAAAAATAAATTAAAACATACAATAGATAAATACAGGACTATGTTTGTAAGATAATCTTATCCCCCAAAGAGAACAATAGAGATGGAGAGGTAATCCAGAGGTAGTGAAGTAAGGTCATTCTTCAGGGAACCAGGTTGAGCCATTGATCTGAAGTGCTAGGTGTGCTCATATGCCCTTCTGAAATTTTTCTCTGCATAGATCTATAAAAGTCCAAGTGCCAGCTATAAACGTTTGCAGAGTACAGGTGACAAGACCATCACCAGAACAGGGAACACACATGTTCCCTATACTTCTCCTGCATCTGTTCTGAACTCCAAGTGAAGAAACAAGAGCACATAAATTAAGGACTACCTGAATCCATCATTTATATCCCAAAATAAGCTTCAATACTTTTTCTCTTTTAAATTCAGGGGGGGAGAGGAGGGAGAGGGAGACTAAGAATACTCTGATCCTCTAAAGTATATCATCTGTATATGTGATTAGCTTGTCAAATGCTATAAGCTTGTTGGTATATCCTGCTTTTGACAATTCTTCATCCATTATAAATTAGTCTGAACTCTGGGTCTGTAAGTTTTACATTTGGTTTTGGTTTTAAATAGAATTGGGAGAAAATTTGTTTCAGTGGAACACAGCAAGTGTAAGCTTTTTCCCAGAGCTAAAGCCCACACTGAAGCTGTATATTGCTGACGTTAAAATAGCTTTCGCAGATACTCCACTACGCCACCCCTTCTTTCTGAAGTTGTTTCAGCCCAGAAGCATATTAAGCAGGAAAGTCCATCTAATTTCAGTGGTCCTCCACACTCCCTGCTCAGACCAGAATTTATGTGTTTTACTTCACTAGAATAAATGTGATTATGTGCTTAAACCATGGCACTTTGTTTCCATTATGAATCCCCAGAAATCTACGTCTGCTCAGGATGAACATATAGATTTCTGCGCAGCCCCATGACATCATTAGGTGGCAGAGTGTTATTTATAGCAATGGCTGGGCAACAATTTCAAAAGAGAGACAAGTTCACAAGTGTAGCATCAGGGCCACTGGGAAAAAAAAAAAATCATTGCCTAAATTATGTGATTTCTGCCCATAGTAAACAATTGCTGTACCATGTTTCCTCTCAGAAAGAGTAAGGTAAGTTGAAAACAGAAAGCAGTTTGGGGTGTGGGGGGTGCCTAAGGGCAGCAACAACAGCGTGCTGGGTTTTCTGTTTGTTTTGGTTTTAATATCTTCAGGGGTTTGACCCTCAAATAAAACCTCAGAGAAAACTGCAAGGCAACTTGATAGTAATAGCAACCCCCTTCCCTTCCTCCAGCAGGCAGACAAGGAAGGAGAGAAAGAAAAAAAAAGCCAAACCAAAAAATGAGGCCCTAATATAAAAAGCCACATAGGTATCAAAAGCTGGAAACAATAACCCATCTGTATAAGGGAAAACATTAGCTGAAGGAATCTATTAAAGCAAAGCCTTCTTTTAGCTCCCTGAATAGTGTAAATATTACATTAAAAAACAGGCGTCAGCTTGTGGACTTTATAAGAGGCCATATCATTCTTCACTGGAGTAACAGCTATGTAACTGCTGTGAAAACAGGGTCTTGATACTATACAAGCCTGCAATATAGCCAAGGTATTATATAGGCTTTGACACTAATTTGGACAGGCTCCATGCCTTGGTGGAAAATGGAACTTATGACTTCATCCCAAATAGGACTTAATGGAGTTCTGCAAATATTTGGACCATCTGAACCAATCAAAATGAAACAAAATAAAACAAAGTACTGTGTGCACAGCTCAGCTGATCCTGAAAGCCTTTTTGCAAATCTTGGGAGACCTGATCCATTGAGCAAGATGTTCTCTAGAGAGCAGGGAGACCTTTAATAGATGCCATGTCAGTAGGACAAGCATTTGCATTACAAAGACTGTGATAACAGACATAATCAAGAATTATAGACCACTGCCTTTGTTGTGAAACTTTCTACAAAGAAGCACCAAACACTAGTGTTACAGTAATAATGGGGAAATGCCAGACAATCATGGCTGAATGGATCATGAAAATGAAAGACACTGTTTATATGGTGGGTGCTTCTTTCAAGATGGTTTCAGTCTTGAAAGAAAAAGTACAGGGAAAGCCTGAACAGTAACTGCCTGCACTGAAGCTCTTTTGTGGAGAGCACTGGCTTTCAGTTTCCAGCAATGATACACTGGTATTTTACTGCAGCAACAGACCCCAAACAATGTTAAGCATTTCTCTAGAGCATGTCCTGGAAACCTGAGCATGTCAAAACATTAATAAAAGTATCACAAAATTAGCAATTTTACAAGACTCCTTTCCTGTAGATGGGGACAGGGAGACATATATGGTGACATGACAATTAAAACTATTCCAGGAAATCACTGGCAGAGTTAGGAACAGACCCAATCTGACACTGAATCCAACACACTCTTATTTCCACTATCATTTATATCATGTTGGGTTTGCACAGCGTAGACAATTCCTACCTCCCCAGGACCAGTAGGTGTCTGGCATCCCTGCATGACCAACCATTACAAGGATTTTGACACTACCTGCACACACGACCCTGTGATAACTTGCCAGGGCTAATGACTCATGAAGCCTTCTAATATGCAAACTGAAATAACACTTCCTCCTTAAACAGATGCAGCAAGAAACACACCATATTTTATGGTTGTCATACAACAAGCATGAGTATTACTGCGATGGCATCTATTCATTGGCAACATGATTTCCTTCTCAAACCCATCTCTCCAGAGCTGCAGATAGTTGACCTTGCTGCCTTGCACTGTTCAGAACAGAATGGGAACGAGCCACACACCTGGTGCTGCAAAATGTGGATTTAAAATCTTTTTTGGGCAAGGGACCATAATATCATTCATTGAACTCCTCTCTTATATCAATAAAAACTGTGCAAATGCAGA